TCATCTAATTGTGCCACAAAGTTGACAAGTCCAAGAAAAATACCAGGGTTGGTGGAGCCCTCAGTTTCATCTTTGCCTCGCAAAGCTAACTCAAACACTCCGCAAAACTTCACACACTGGATTAGCCGGCTGAGGATGTGGCGGTTCTTGCTAACCTCATCGTTGTGGCGGCGGACAGCTAGCCTGTATCCCTCATCCAGTTGAGTGGCAATGTTCACTTCCCCAAAGCAGACAATCTCAAACAGCTATCCATGTGGGTCTTTGACAGCTCATGTTTCTTAATCTTTTCTGAAAGATGGTGCATGTCCGTTACACCAGTCGCTGTCCAAGCGGTGCTGTCTGCCGTGCCGCCTTCAGGGTGAAAGAGTAAGCAGGGGTAGCAGAAGACTGCATTAGCTACATCGCAGCCTGCTAGCCAGGTTTTTCGTTCGTACCAATTTTTGTAGGACTTTCCCCCTTTAGTAGAAACCTGTTGAATTATTAAATTTGGTCTGGGAGGTCCTAATTGTTTCGTTGCCAATTTATCTTGATTTGTTCGCCGACAAAAAGGAACTTCTTTCAAAGAGACAATCGAGTTGCACTGAACGCTAGCCATCTTGACAGTAGTACGTGAATTGATTGACGCTGCTACCCGCTCTTTTCTTAGTTACGTTCATGGTTATGTTACGTATGACGAAAGCGCGTAAGTGCAAGCCCTCCCGGAACCCATAGAGATTGTATTGAAAGCTCTGATATTTGAAAAAAAAAGATTTTACATGAGAGTCTATGAGAGACTTCTGGGGCGATTTTCAACCTGACTGAAATTGCCCCAAAAGGGGCGGGGCCATTAGCCTGATTGGACATTTAGTGGCAGATCAGACGTCTAGATTAGAACACTGATAACTACTGTTGCCGTGATATAATTGATTAGAAAAAAAATCCCTTCCTTTTCCCGTTTGGCAGTGCGTCGCCCATATCGCCCTAATGAACACACCGCCCCTGATAACGAGGCTATATACAGGGGGTACCGGTACCGAGTCAATGTGCGGTGGTACAGGTTAGTCGAGGTAATTTGTAAATTTAGGTAGGGGTAAAGTGACTATGCATAGATAATAAACAGCGAGTAGCAGCAGTGTAAAAACAAAGGATGGGGGGGGGGGTCAATGTAAATAGTCCATCTGGCCATTTGATTAATTGTTCAGCAGTCTTATGGCTTGGGGGTAGAAGCTGTTAAGGAGCCTTTTGGACCTAGGCTTGGCGCTCCGGTACTGCTTGCTGTGCAGTAGCAGAGAGAACAGTCTATGACTTGGGTGACTGGAGTCTTTGACAATTTTTTGGGCCTTCCTCTGACACTGCCTAGTATATAGGTCCTGGATGGCAGGAAACTTGGCCCCATTGATGTAATGGGCTGAACGCACTACACTCTGTAGCGCCTTACGGTTGGCTGCCGAGCAGTTGCCATACCAGGCGGTGATGCAACCGGTTTGACGCTCTCGATGTTACAGCTGTAGAACTTTTTGAGGATCTGGGGACCCATGACAAATCTTTTCAGTCTCCTGAGGGGGAAAAGGTGTTGTCGTGCCCTCTTCACAACTGTCTTGGTGTGTTTGGACCATGATATTTTGGGACAGGATGGGACTAAGCACGCACCCCTGAGGGGGCCCCCGTGTTGAGGATCAGTGTGGCAGATGTGTTGTTGCCTACCCTTACCACCTGGGGGTGGCCCGTCAGGAAGTCCAGGATCCAGTTGCAGAGGGAGGTGTTTAGTCCCAGGGTCCTTAGCTTAGTGATGAATAGCATTCTCACATAGGTGTTTCTTTTGTCCAGGTGGGAAAGGGCAGTGTGGAGTGCGATTGAGATGGCGTCATCTGTGGATCTGTTGGGGCGGTATACGAATTGGAGTGGGTCTAGGGTTTCCGGGATGATGGTGTTGATGTGAGCCATGACCAGCCTTTCAAAGCACTTCAAGGCTACCGATGTAGTCATTTAGGCAGGTTACCTTCGCTTTCTTGGGCAAAAGGGTGTGTGTGTGTGTGTGTGTGTGTGTGTGTGTGTGTGTGTGAGTGTGAGAGAGACATATTGATCTGTCACTAACCATCCATCAGATGTTTTAGGAGGTTTAAGGACAACACACACTCACACACACCTCTCTGTCACACACACACACACAGTCACACACACACGCACATAGTATATGGCAGAGGTGTTGTCAGTGTCAGAAAAAATTGAATAGTTTGAGAACAGAACAGAAATCCACCATGCCCCTCTCATCTCAACCCCTAATGGCTGCTGTAATGTCTGATGAGCTGCAGTGCCCCTGGTGGCCAGTATGTTACACTACAACATGCAGCAAATGGAGCAGTCAGGTGTACTCCCAGTCTGTGCATTTCTCTTTCTCTCTCTCTCTCTCTCTGTGTGCGTTTGTGGTGCCAGATGCTCTGATGTAATTGAAAGCCGTCTGTACTGCCCTTCCTCCTGCTGCTGGAGGAACTTCAGCTTTAAGTGCTCTTTCTCTCTCTCTCACTCACACAAACACACACACACAAACCGGTGCTGTCGTCTGCATTGTTGTCATGGTGATATCGAGTGATTCCTCTGCCAAGCCGTGAGTGGGGAAAAGGTGAGACCGTGGTCAGTGAGAGGAAATGAAACGGGAACAGGGAGGAACACAAAGGAGATAGTTATCTCTCTCCATCTCTATATGATCATTTGACATGAGTAGGGCCCTGTGTTTTGGTTAATCATGTCACATTACCTGTATTTCAACCTTTATTTTAACCCTTTTCCAGAAATGAGAATTAGACCAAAAATGAAAGCAATTGTCTGAAGATGGTGCTGGACCATCTGACATAAAAAGAAAAGGTGACAGTTTGATGAAAAAGCTTTAAATAAAGGTTCAAATCCAGGTAATCTAACATGATTAACCAAAACACAGGGCCCTAGACATGAGATGACATGAGCTTCCTGGTTTGAGGAAAACACGCCCAGTAGAGGTGGGGAGGGGGAGGGGCTCTGCTCAGTGTGAAGGCTTGTAGGGGTTGACAGGAGAGGGTCATGACAATAGCAATGCAGTAGAATGGCATCATTCATGTGTTTGTCATGTGTACATTTGTGGGTTTCACACAGACCTGTTCCGTCTGCCTGTCTGTCATCCCCTGTCTGTCTGCCTGGACGGTGAGGCGTCGGGAGGTGGACATGTTGTTGCTGTGATAGATGACAGACCGGGTCACCTGCAACAATGAGACTGTTACTCAGGAATTCAATAGTTCTCACATCCTCAGCAAAGCACACACATTCATCAGCACTGCATGCATGCATGTCCGCGCGTGTGTGAAGGAGAATGGGAGATATAGAAATAGCGAGAAGAAAAAGAGAGAGACGTGTGTGTGTGAGAGAGATTGAGATAAATAGAGAAAAGGAGATGGAAAGTGAGCGTGGAGACAGAAAATAAAGAAAGAAACAATCAGAGAAGCATTACTGTGCCCACGTAAAAGACCAGTAAACAGGATGTCACACGGCCTCCATCTTGTGATCATGTTTGTTTGCAGGGCATTATTGTCGTCCCCCCGCATGCTTCATTTCCTTCATTAGTAGAACCATGTAGGGTTTTTAGGTTTGTCCCCATAGGGGAACCCTTTTTGGTGCTAGGTTGAACCATTTGCAGAGGGTTCTACCTAGAACCCTCTTCATAGAACCCCCTGTAAATGGTTCTACCTAGAACTCTCTATGAACGGTTCTACCAAGAACCCTTTTATCTTTGAAGGGTTCTTCCTAGAACCTTCTATAAACAGTTCCACCAGCCTTATTAGCATTTAAAATTAAACTCTTTATGACAATACATTACGTATATCATAAGGCCCTTCTTTTCAGGCCACATCAGGTCTGCATTTCACATTATGCTGGCTTCCAAAGTTAAGTGAAATTCCTATTGCCAGAGTGAGGATATCCAACTATTTGAACTTTTCATCACCCACATCCTGCAGAATGACTGCCAGGGTGGGGAAGATTGATTAATTGGACTACCTAAACTAGGAAAACCATCTCAGTAACGGGTACAATATGTACTACTACTAACAGATTGGATTAGTTTATAAAAATGTATGTTATGTATCTTTATGTAGCATAAGATTAATCAACCAATCAATGTACATGCAAAAACACAGACATTGAAACAAACAATTCTGAAAATCAACCTGCAATAGAGCATGCTGGGAAATATTATAATGATGGGCGTCGTTTTGAGTGTTTTACTCCACAGAGAGTAAAAATGACACGATCACACTCAACTCTGGTTATTAACACGAACATGGGGGTTCTTTTACACCACTTTTAACTCCTAAGTCAACACTGCAAAATCAACACTAGGTAAAACTGGCCAATTTGTTGTAGAAACCTATCCCTCCTCAAAGAACCCTTTTGGAACCCTTTTTTCTAAGAGTGTAGGACTTGGTTATCTCGGCAGTGCCATCGTATATCCCTGTACTACTAAATACATGATTATAGGCTTTATTTGTGCTGGGTAATATACTGTATGTTGTTGTTGGCAGTCTCTCTCCTTTAAGTCAAATGTGCAGGCAGCCACACACACACACCACACGCACACACCAGTGGAGGCTGCTGAGGGGAGGATGGCTCATAATAATGGTTGGAACAGAGCAAATGGAATGGCATCAAACAAATGCAAACCATGTGTTTGATATATTTGCTACCATTCCACTGATTCCGCTCCAGCCATTACCACGAGCCCGTCCTCCCCAATTAAGGTGCCACCAACCTCCCGTGGCACACACAGATACAAACACACACATACACCCTGCATCTCGAGCAGAGGAGAGAGAGAGAGGTCTTGGAGTGGCATTTAATTAAGCTGACCTGAAGCGGTCGAGAAGCGGTCGGAAAGTGGACTTAAACCATGCGCTGTGGAGTTGTGGTGACACGATTCTCACTTATTATCGGAAGGATAAAAAAATCCATCAAATGGACAAACAAACTCCAGAGAGTAGTGGTGGGATGGTCGAAAGATGACAGGAAGAGGAGGAGGAACCGAAGAGGAAGAGGGAGGTAGGGAGGACAGTGATGTGGATACAGATGACATCGTTGGGAGTTCTTGTCTTGATCAAAGAAGAACTGAAAGACTGACCATTCCCACTGTCCACTCCCTCCAAGCCAGGAGGGGACTAAAACTGTTAAAACACAAGACAACCTGTCCTGTGCCTGACCAAGCAGAGTCCCACTAGAGGCAGACAGACAGACCAACACAAGCAAGTCTAGTACTGTCTGTTTGCCTAGCTCCAAATATCACTGCAATTTCAGCCTCACTGCACACAGGCACTCAGAGGATGTTTAGTGGCCTGCCGCGACTCCCAGTGCTCGGCTCCGAGTGCTTCGTGTCACGGCTACAGCCGTTATAGCCCCAGCCCCTACACACACACACACACGCACACAGTTCAGTCCTTCAGGGGCACAGGCTATGGCAGGATGATAACTTCAGCTGTGACACCAGTGTTATTCCCAGAGCTGTGGCTCTAAGCTGCTAATTGGAGGAAGTTGATTTGTCCCGTGAGAGGAAGTACAGAGTCGATGAAAGACCTCCTGGAGAAAACAGATGGCCCTATGGGATACATATCTGCCACCAAATGGCTCTCTGGTTTATGAAGAGACTACTCTACACAGGCAAACACACACACACACACACACACACACACACATAAACACAAACACACACACACACCCTAAGCACAGAGGAGAGAAAGAGGCCCTGGAGTGGCATTTAATGAAGCTGACCTGAAGCGGTCAGGGAGCTGACTTAAACCATGTGCTGTAGTGGAGTTGTGGGGCCACGATTCTCACTTATTATCAGAAGGATAAAACAAGCCATCAAATGGACAAACAAACTCCAGAGAGTAGTGGTGGAATGGTAAAAAGATGACAGGAAGGGGAGGAGGAACCGGATAGGAAGAGGATGGTAGGGAGGACACAGATTAGTGATGCACGGGTCAGCTAACTGAGCATTGCATTCTCTCAAGATGCAGAAATAAATAAATCATATTTCTCCACTACTGTTCCCAAATTTTGCCTACATTTGGCGTATAATATTACTGCAGGAGTTATTATTAAGGCAATAGCCCTATTCGCGCTGGACTAGTATTACTAGAGTACGTTGGTTATGTATTTATTACCCCAGAATGTCCGTTATTCCAGAGGCACAATATATTTTTAATTATGCATTTGGCGATGTTCAATTCATTTGCACAAAACGTATAAACAAAAGCATTCACTGTGAAAGTCGATCCATGTAGGCCCTTCATATACAGTGCATTCGGAAAGGATTCAGACCCCTTGACTATTTCCACATTTTGTTACGTTATAGCCTTATTCTAAAATCGATTAAATTGTTTTTGTTTCACTCATCAATCTACACACAATACCCCATAATGACAAAGCAAAAGCAGATTTTTAGAAATGTTTGCACCTTTTTTTTTTAATGAAAAAACTGAAATATCACATTAACATAAGTATTCAGGCCCTTTACTCAGTACTTTGTTGAAGCACCTTTGGCAGCGATTACAGCCTCAAGTCTTCTTTGGTATGAAGCTACAAGCTTGGCACACCTGTATTTGGGGAGTTTCTCCCGTTCTTCGCTGCAGATCCTCTCAAGCTCTGACAGGTTGGATGGGGAGCGTCGCTGCACAGCTATTTTCAGGTCTCTCCAGAGATGTTCGATCGGGTTTTAGTCCGGGCTCTGGCTGGGCCACTCAAGGACATTCAGAGACTTGTCCTGAAGCCACTCCTGCGTTTTCTTGGCTGTGTGCTTAGGGTCGTTGTCCTGTTGGAAGGTGAACCTTGCCACAGTCTGAGGTCCTGAGCGCACTGAAGCAGGTTTTCATCAAGGATCTCTCTGTACTTTGCTCTGCTGATCTTTCCCTTGATCCTGACTAGTCTCCCAGTCCCTGCCGCTGAAAAACATCCCCACAGCATGATGCTGCCACCACCATGCTTCACCGTAGGGATGGTGCCAGGTTTCCTCCAGTCGTGATGCTTGGCCTTCAGGCCAAAGAGTTCGATCTTGGTTTCATCAGACCAGAGAATCTTGTTTCTCATGGTCTGAGAGTCCTTTAGGTGCCTTTTGCCAAACTCCAAGCGGGCTGTCATGTGCCTTTTACTGAGGAGTGGCTTCCGTCTGGCCACTCTACCATAAAGGCCTGATTGGTGGAGTGCTGCAGAAATGGTTTTCCTTCTGGAAGGTTTTCCCATCTCTACAGAGGAACTCTGGATCTCTGTCAGAGTGACCATCGGGTTCTTGGTCACCTTCCTGACCAAGGCCCTTCTCCCCCGATTGCTCAGTTTGGCCGGGCGGCCAGCTCTAGGAAGAGTCTTGGTGGTTCCAAACTTCTTCCATAAAGGGCGGCAGGTAGCTTAGTGGGTAAGAGCGTTGTGCCAGTAACCGAAAGGTCGCTGGTTCTAATCCCCGAGCCGACTAGGTGAAAAATCTGTCGATGTGCCCTTAAGCAAGGCACTTAACCCTAATTGCTCCTGTAAGTCGCTCTGGATAAGAGCGTCTGCTAAATGACTAAAATGTAAATGTAATAAAAAATGTTGGTACCCTTCCACAGATCTTTGCCTCGACACAATTCTGTCTCGGAGCTCTACGGACAATTTCTTCGACCTCATGGCTTGATTTTTGCTCTGACATGCACTGTCAACTGTGGGACCTTATATAGACAGGTGTGTGCCTTTCCAAATCATGTCCAATCAATTGAATTTACCACAGGTGGACTCCAATCAAGTTGTAGAAACATCTCAAGGATGATCAATGGAAACAGGATGCACCTAAGCTACATTTCGAGTCTAATAGCAAAGGGTCTGAATACTTATGTAAATAAGGTATTTCTGTTTTTTATTTTTAAGACATTTGCAAAGTTTTCTAAAAACCTGTTTCGCTTTGCCATTATGGGGTATTATGTGTAGATTGATGAGGGGAAAAAATCATTTAATCCATTTTAGAATAAGGCTGTAACGTAACAAAATGTGGAAAAAGGAAGGGTCTGAATACTTTCCGAATGCACTGTATAAATAGCACAATAATTATACACTCAATATTTAATGGCCCTAAACCCGTCCGCCCCGCGGATACAACCGCGCGGACTGCGGGTTATGAGTCAACCGTGCATCACTAATACAGATGACGTCATTGGGAGTTCTTGTCTTGATCAAAGAAGAACTGAAAGTCCATTCCCACTGACCACTCCCTCCAAGCCAGGAGGGGACTAAAACTGTTAAAACACAAGACAACCTGTCATGTACCTGACCAAGCAGAGTCCCACTACAGACAGACCAACACAAGCAAGTCTAGTACTGACTGTTTGCCTAGCTCCAAATGTCACTGCAGTTTCAGCTTCACTGCACACAAACAGGATTCCTAGTGACCTGCCGCGAATTCTGAGTGCTTTGTGTCACAACCCCAGCCCCCCACCCCCCCCCCCACCCCCCGACACACACACGCGCACACACACACACACACAGTTCAGTCCTTCAGGGGCACAGGCTATGGCAGGATGATAACTTCAGCTGTGACACCAGTGTTATTCCCAGAGCTGTGGCTCTAAGCTGCTAATCGGAGGAAGTTGATTTGTCCCGTAAGAGGAAGTACAGAGTCGATGAAAGACCTCCTGGAGAAAACAGATGGCCCTATGGGATACATACAGTGGGGAAAAAAAGTATTTAGTCAGCCACCAATTGTGCAAGTTCTCCCACTTAAAAAGATGAGAGAGGCCTGTAATTTCCATCATAGGTACACATGTCCAGGCCCGTCTGAAGTTTGCTAGAGTGCATTTGGATGATCCAGAAGAGGATTGGGAGAATGTCATATGGTCAGATGAAACCAAAATAGAACTTTTTGGTAAAAACTCAACTCGTTGTGTTTGGAGGACAAAGAATGCTGAGTTTCATCCAAAGAACACCATACCTACTGTGAAGCATGGGGGTGGAAACATCATGCTTTGGGGCTGTTTTTCGTCAAAGGGACCAGGACGACTGATCCGTGTAAAGGAAAGAATGAATGGGGCCATGTATCGTGAGATTTTGAGTGAAAACCTCCTTCCATCAGCAAGGGCATTGAAGATGAAACGTGGCTGGGTCTTTCAGCATGACAATGATCCCAAACACACCGCCCGGGCAACGAAGGAGTGGCTTCGTAAGAAGCATTTCAAGGTCCTGGAGTGGCCTAGCCAGTCTCCAGATCTCAACCCCATAGAAAATCTTTGGAGGGAGTTGAAAGTCCGTGTTGCCCAGCGACAGCCCCAAAACATCACTGCTCTAGAGGAGATCTGCATGGAGGAATGGGCCAAAATACCAGCAACAGTGTGTGAAAACCTTGTGAAGACTTACAGAAAACGTTTGACCTGTGTCATTGCCAACAAAGGGTATATAACAAAGTATTGAGAAACTTTTGTTATTGACCAAATACTTATTTTCCACCATAATTTGCAAATAAATTCATTAAAAATCCTACAATGTGATTTTCTGGAGAGAAAAAAATCTCATTTTGTCTGTCATAGTTGACGTGTACCTATGATGAAAATTACAGGCCCCTCTCATCTTTTTAAGTGGGAGAACTTGCACAATTGGTGGCTGACTAAATACTTTTTTCCCCCACTGTATCTGCCACCAAATGGCCCTCTGCGCTAAAGCGGTGTGGTTTATGAAGAGACGACACTAGACAGGCAAACACACACATCTGAAAAAAATGGGTTCACGGATGTGTTAAAATGAATTGGAGCAGTGCCATAGGTTCTCTGCTCTCTGCTCCTGTCTCATATCATTGCTCTCCTCTGCTGATGAGGGTGAGGTGAGGCTCTCTCAGTGTGAGCCAAGTTTCCTCCCAGCACAACCGTAGCTGACCTCCAAGCTCTCCTCTGGTGGTCCTGTGTGGCATGGTTGGTAGAGCATGGCCCTTGCAATGTAAGGATCGTGGGTTCGATTCCCGAGCTGGGGCCACCCATATGATGATTAAATCAAATACAATTGTATTTGTCACATGTGCCAAATTCAACAGGTGTATACCTTACCGTGAAATGCTTACTTACAAGCCCTTAACCAACAATGCAGTTTTAAGAAAAATAAGAGTTAAGAAAAAATATTGACTAAATAAGCTAAAGTAAAATATAAAAGCACAACAATAAAATAACAATAACGAGGCTATATAAAGGGGGTCAATGTGTGGGGTTACAGGTTAGTCGAGGTAATTTAGGTAATATGTACATGTAGGTAGGGGTAAAGTGACTATGCATAGATAATAGATAATAAACAGCGAGTAGCAGCAGCGTTGTCGTGCCCTCTTCACGACTGTCTTGGTGTGTTTGGACAATGATAGTTTGTTGGTGATGTGGACACCAAGGAACTTGAAGCTCTCAACCTGCTCCACTACAGCCCCGTCGATGAGAATGGTGGCGTTCTCAGTCCTCCTTTTCCTGTAGTCCACAATCATCTCCTTTGTCTTGATCACGTTTAGGGAGAGGTTGTTGTCCTGGGAACACACTTCCAGCCTCCCAATAGGCTGTCTCATCGTTGTTGGGGATCAGGCCTACCACTGTTGTGTCGTCGGCAAACTTAATGATGGTGTTAGAGTCGTGCCTGGCCACGCGGTCATGGGTGAACAGGGAGTACAGGAGGGGACTAAGCACACACCTCTGAGAGGACCCCGTGTTGAGGATCAGCATGGCAAATGTGTTGTTGCCTACCCTTACCACCTGGGGGCGGCCCGTCAGGAAGTCCAGGATCCAGTTGCAGAGGGAGGTGTTTAGTCCCAGGGTCCTTAGCTTAGTGATGAGCCTTGAGGGCACTATGGTGTTGAACGCTGAGCTGTAGTCAATGAACAGCATTCTCACGTAGGTGTTCCTTTTGTCAAGGTGGGAAAGGGCAGTGTGGAGTGCAATAGAGATTGCGTCATCTGTGGATCTGTTGGGGCGGTATGCAAATTGGAGTGGGTCTAGGGTGTCTGGGATAATGGTGTTGATGTGAGTCATGACCAGCCTTTCAAAGCACTTCATGGCTACAGACGTGAGTGCTACGGGTCGGTAGACATTTAGGCAGGTTAGGTTGGTGTTCTTGGCCACAGGGACTATGGTGGTCTGCTTGAAACATGTAGGTGTTACAGTGCGGATGTTGCCTGTAATCCATGGCTTTTGGTTGGGATATGTACGTACGGTCACTGTGGGGACAACGTCATCGATGCACTTATTGATGAAGCCGGTGACTGATGTGGTATACTCCTCAATGCCATCGGATGAGTCCCGGAACAAATTCCAGTCTGTGCTAGCAAAACAGTCCTGTAGCTTAGCATCTGCGTCATCTGACCACTTCCGTATTGAGCGAGACACTGGTACTTCCTGCTTTAGTTTTAGCTTGTAAGCAGTAATCAGGAGGATAGAATTATAGTCAGATTTGCCAAATGGAGGGCGAGGGAGAGCTTTGTACGCGTCTCTGTGTGTGGTAGTAAAGGTGGTCTAGAGTTTTTTTTCCTCAGGTTGCACACGTAACATGCTAGTAGAAATTAGGTAAATCGGATTTAAATTTCCCTGCATTAAAGTCCCTGGCCACTAGGAGCGCCGCATCTGGATGAGCATTTTCTTGTTTGCTTATGGCTTTATACAGCTCGTTGCGTGCGGTCTTAGTGCCAGCATCGGTTTGTGGTGGTAAATAGACAGCTACGAAAAATATAGATGAAAACTGTCTTGGTAAATAGTGTGGTCTACAGCTTATCATGAGATACTCTACCTCAGGCGAGCAAAACCTTGAGACTTCCTTAATATTAGATTTCGTGCACCAGCTGTTATTGACAAATAGACACAGACCGCCACTCCTTGTCTTACCGGAGGCAGCTGTTCTGTCTTGCCGATGCATAGAAAAACCAGCCAACTGTATATTATCCATGTCGTCGTTCAGCCACGACTCGGTGAAACATAAGATATTACAGTTTTTAATGGTAGGGTAGTCTTGAACGGAGCTCATCCTGTTTATTCTCCAATGATTGCACGTTGGCCAATAGGACGGATGGTAGAGGCGGGTTACCCACTCACCGACAAATTCTCACAAGGCACCCGGACCTGCGTCCCCTTCTCTTCATGCGAATGACGGGGATTTGGGCCTGGTCGGGTATCTGGAGTAAATCCTTCGCGTCCGACTCGTTAAAGAAAAAATATTTGTCCAGTTCGAGGTGAGTAATCGCTGTTCTGATATCCAGAAGCTCTTTTCGGTCATAATAGACAGTGGCAGAATCATTATGTACAAAATAAGTTACAAATAATGCGAAAAAACACACAAAATAGCACAATTGGTTAGGAGCCCGTAAAATGGCAGCCATCTCCTCTGGCGCCATTGTACATGATATATGCATGCACTACTGTAATTCGCTTCGGAGAAAAGAGTCTCTATATGTTAGGTATGTTGTTATTGTGTCTCTGTGTCCCCCGCAGAAAGCAGTGTTCACGACGGAAGCAATGACAACGATGGCAGCGTGTGTGGCAGTGACTCCACCTTCTACAGGCAGAGTGAAGGTACACAACCCCATATAGGTGGCGTCCTGGTCAAAAGTAGTGCACTACATAGGGAATGGGGTGCCATTTGGCACACAACCATGGAAACCAACAAATTAAAAATGGTAATTTGTAGCAGGTATATCTGTTTCATCAGGCTAGCACATTACATATACCCACAGCATGACACAGCATTATAGTATGGGGGGTGTAGAACTACACACTGCGTGGTCTTCTTGTTCCAGAGGTCTGAGTCCCTCCCAGTCGGCCACTTGTGAATCACAGCAGCACTCCACCACAGCACTGACATTAGTTCGCAAATAAACCACTTTGCTCTGCACTAGTAATGTTTTGTTTGTCTAATATATCTGTAATTAAATCTGCTATTTAGATAATGACTGCTCCTGAAAGGGCTGCAAGTAAACGTGTGTGTGTGTGTGTGTGTGTGTGTGTGTGTGTTCGCAGGACACAGCATGGCAGAGACCCTCACTGTTGCCCTGCGTGTTGCTGAGGAGGCCATAGAGGAAGCCATCGCCAAGGCAGAGGAGTTTACTGACAGCTTGGTGAGACAATAGTCCTGCTGTGTGTGTGTGTGTCTGTTTCATTCTTTCTTTCTTTCTTTCTTTCTTTCTTTCTTTCTTTCTTTCTTTCTTTCTTTCTTTCTTTCGTTCTTTCGTTCTTTCTTTCTTTCGTTCTTTCGTTCTTTCGTTCTTTCGTTTCTTTCTTTCTTTCTTTCTTTCTTTCTTTCTTTCTTTCTTTCTTTCTTTCTTTCTTTCTTTCTTTCTTTCTTTCTTTCTTTCTTTCTTTCTTTCTTTCTTTCTTTCTTTCTTTCTTTCTTTCTTTCTTTCTCTCTCTCAGATTCAGATAAGCTTTATTAGCATGAATGACAAGGCCACTGTTGCTAAAGCGACATGAGATAATGACAACAATAACAGTTAAAAATAAGTCTCTCTGTCTCTCACCATGTCTCTTTTGATTTGGAGCTTTTGGGATAAGGGTTTTGCTGTAGTTCTGACCAGGCTTTGATGTCTCTGTGTTGCAGGAGAAGCAGAATGAGGCACGCTACCTGCAGGACCACAAAGAGGAACTTATAGAGGAACTTGCCACAACCATCGTACAAAAAGTAAGTTTGGAGTTTGGTGTGGAGTTTTTGGTCACATCTAACATTAAGCTCTCGCTCTCGCTCCTCTCCTCTCGTCTCGTTTCATCTCCTCTTCTCTCCTTCTCTCTCCCAGATCATCCAGAGGAGGAAGCGTTCAGAGATGCAGACAGAGTATGACTTTGTTTGGCCCCAGAGCCAGGGCCAGCCCCAGGACAGTGAGATGTCCTCCCCCAGCCTGCCCCCTCACAGCATCCTGGCCCAGGCCAACCGGGCCCACCTCAAGAGCTCCTATTCCCTCTGGGTCAGTCTGGTTAGGAAGCCCTCACTACACTACACTACCCTACAGTACGCTATACTTCACTACTCTACACTATACTACAATACCCTACGCTACCATGCACTAAGATAAGCTACACTACACTACGCTACCATGCAATACTCTACCATGCACTACGCTATGTTACACTATGTTACACTATGCTATGCTACGTTACACTACACTACACTGCACTGCACTGCAATACACTACACTACAGTACTGTACAGTAAAGGCGTCCGCATACTAGGTTCGGTTTGCTTCTAGGAGAACTCGGCTAGGCGTAGCAAACATCTATGCCTCGCATACTCCGTTAATTAAAAGACATTTGCTTGAAAAACAAATATTACTGGCAATATTACTGTTTGTCCCTCTTGAGACGCCATAGCCTTGGCAAAAGTATTCATCCCTCTTGGCGTTTTTCCTATTTTGTTGCATTACAACCTGTAACTTAAATTGGATTTTTATTTGGATTTCATGTAATGGACATACACAAAATAGTCCAAATTGGTGAAGTGAAATGAAAAAAATAACTTCTTTCAAAAAAAATAACCCCAAAAAATAACGGAAATGTGTATTCATCCCCTTTGCTATGAAGCCCCTAAATAAGATCGGGTGCAACCAATTACCTTCAGAAGTCACATAATTTGTTAAATAAAGTCCACCTGTGTGCAATCTAAGTGTCACATGATCTGTCAGATGATCTCAGCGTATATACACCTGTTCTGAAAGGCCCCAGAGTCTGCAACACCACTAAGCAAGGGGCACCACCAAGCAAGCGGCACCATGAAGACCAAGGAGCTCTCCAAACAGGTCAGGGACAAAGTTGTGGAGAAGTACAGATCAGGGTTGAGTTATAAAAAAATATCAGAAACTTTGAACATCCCACTGAGCACCATTAAATCCATTATTAAGACATTTAAATAATATGGCACCACAACAAACCTGCCAAGAGAGGGGCGCCCACCAAAACCCACGGACCAGGCAAGGAGGGCATTAATCAGAGAGGCAACAAAGAGACCAAAGATAACCCTGAAGGACCTGCAAAGCTCCACAGCGGAGATTGGAGTGTCTGTCCATAGGACCACTTTAAAAAAGCCATTGCTTAAAGAAAAAAATAAGCAAACACTTTTGGTGTTCACCAAAAGGCATGTGGGAGACTCCCCAAACACATGGAAGAAGGTACTCTGGTCAGATGAGACTAAAATTGAGCTTTTTGGCCATCAAGGAAAACGCTATTTCTGCCACAAACCCAACACCTCTCATCACCCCGAGAACACCATCCCCACAGTGAAGCATGGTGGTGACAGCATCATGCTGTGGGGATGTTTTTCATCGGCAGGGACTGGGAAACTGGTCAGAATTGAAGGAATGATGGATGGCACTAAACACAGGGAAATTCTTGAGGGAAACCTGTTTCAGTCTTCCAGAGATTTGAGACTGGGACGGAGGTTCACCTTCCAGCAGGGGAAACATTTAAATGTCTTGGAATGGCCTAGTCAAAGCTCAGACTTAAAGATTGCTGTACACCAGCGGAACCCATCCAACTTGAAGGAGCTGGAGCAGTTTTGCCTTGAAGAATGGGTAAAAATCCCAGTGGCTAGATGTGTCAAGCTTATAGAGACATACCCCAAGAGACATGTATGCACACATGACTAAGTCGCTTTGGATAAAAGCGTCTGCTAAATGGCATATTATTATTATATTAGACTTGCAGCTGTAATTGCTACAAAAGGTGGCTCTACAAAGTATTGACTTTGGGGGGGTGAACAGTTATGCACACTCAAGTTTTGTCTTATTTCTTGTTTGTTTCACAATAACAAATATTTTGCGTCTTCATAGTGAATACATATTTCTGTGGAAACATAACCAACCCTGTTACACAGACAATACAATAATATTTACATTTTTTGTTCCAATACTCATTTGCATGTTGTATAAATCAAATGATACAAACCCCCAAAAAATCAATTTTAATTCCAGGTTGTAAGGCAACAAAATAGGAAAAAGGCCATGGGGGTGAATACTTTCGCAAGCCACTGTACACTTCCTCAAAATAGTCAGAATTAATCTAAGATAAATCAAGAAATCTGTAATTAAATGTTTTTGCCGAGGTGGTCTTAGTCGTGCAATTTGACATCTAACTAAGATGTTTGGGGCAGTATTTGTCAAGTTATTTTTTTTGCATGAAAACTAGTTGTCTCTCGTTGAATGACAACATTTAATTGAAGAATCCCATCCATAGTTCCCACTCATACTAGGAGTAGTTCTGTTGACCAATCACCGACAAAGGGGCGTGTACTTTGGCTACTGAACTTCGACTTACCTCAAGAAGAAATGTTGTGTGCTCGAACATCCCCCCCAAAAAACTCCTGAACAATAAAACTAACAAAAACTGAACCACATTTTGTCATAATATGTGCATGAACTGTTTTGAGCGGGAACCATGCGACAGGCTTAAGCTCCACTATACTACACTACACTACCCTTTGTCCTGACCATTTGACCTGACCCAGGAAAAACTAAATATAGTCTGTAGGTAGGGCTTGGAGTTTTGGGGTATAACTAGGACCCAGAGTTTTTCCCTGGTCAGGGCATATGGGACAGGATCAATTATTTGCCCTATGTGATGAGATATGGGGACAGACGGGGTTGAGGTCTGGCGAAGACCAAATGTAATTACTTTAATGGTGCTGGCAGATTTTCCCATGAATGCTTCTCCACTGAGGGTTGTGTAACCAGTTTGTACCTGTGACTTATACAGTAGCTTTCCAGGTAAACCTCCACACACACACACACCTAGCAGTGTTTCACAGGGGTAGTCAGAGGGGACCTGGTCCCGTGTGTGTGAGGCAGGCACAGCAGTGGAATCATGGCTATGTTCCCAGCCCTTCTCCTGTCCCAGTCTGTCTGTTACACTCAACCATGATCAAAGTCCTGCAGAAATATACAGAGATTCTCCTCAACTCCCTGGCTCACAGAGGGATGAGTTCCCTTTATTAACGCTCTGCAAACACACACACACACACACATACATACAGGCACACACACAAACACAGGTGCGCACATACACATACAGTCACGCACACACTCTTATGAATGAGCTCAGAGTGAGTGTGTATGCGTGTCTGTAAGTAGAGATTTAGTAGTATTTGGTTGAGATTAGTTACTCATACACTGTTTTTGTTCATATTTGTAGTTCTCTGATATCCAGATTGTAGTTCTCTGAAACCCAGATTGTAGTTCTCTGATACCCAGATTGTAGTTCTCTGGTGCCCCCTGCAGACTCTATATATTAATCACATCCATTAGACTGGTTGTTCTTACCAAATGGCACCCTATCACATTTACATTTTAGTCATTTAGCAGACGCTCTTATCCAGAGCGACTTACAGTTAGTGAGTGCATACATTTTCATACTGGCCCCCCGTGGGAATTGAACTCACAACCCTGGCGTTGCAAACACCATGCTCTACCAACTGAGCTACACGGGGGGGCCATTGTTACCTATAGTATATTACTTTGTAGGGAATAGGGTGCCATTTGGGACGAAGCCTGAAAGTCAGTCTTACAATGTACCAGGATGCCAGAAGAACACAAACTCCAGTTGCCATTTACTTTCAATGCCTTCTGAGATTGTAACCAAACAACTAGTTCAATTTCAGTTGGATCAGTGAATACCAGCACATGGTCTGTGGTATCTACATTGCCACCCAAACAAACCAAGCTAATCTTTTGTACCTAAGCCTGAAATGTTTGGCTGGAACTGGAGCGTGGGAAAATTGCTCCCCAGAACGCAATTTTGCCACTGTGCCTGTTACATTTGAAGCTGTCCTTGGCTGGTAGGCCCAGAATGCATCATTCTGTGTAATACTTTGTTACCGTTTCAGCGCTTGTAGTTTTTAAATTGTGTAGCCTATCATTTACGTGTGTGTGTGTGTGTGTGTGTGTGTGTGTGTGTGTGTGTGTGTGTGTGCGTGTGCGTGCGTGTGCGTGTGTGTGTGTGCACAGAGGTCGCGGTCTGCGTTCTCCCTGACCAGTGATGATTCTCCAGAGAAGACCACTGAGGCACTAGTGGGGGCAGGGGGAGGTGGAGGGGTACAGGACTACGCCTCTCTTAAGGACACTGCAAGGGCCTCCTCACTGCCCAGCTGGAAGAGTGTGGACCGCCTGGACAACTCCAGTAAGACACACACTGAAACATAGATCCCTCATACAGTCACACACACACATTAGAGACGTCCATAGCGAAATCATCCGTATTGTCACACACAACACTCTACACTCAACCCAGAGAGATATGTCCATATTGTCATACATTACATGCAAAGACATGTCAGTACAGTCATGTCTGTCATTTGTACAGTCAAATATGTTACATGCAACAAGACAATTCCATACAGTTACATTCACAGGAAGAATGCTGTGTTTGTCACATACGTAAAGCTATGGATATGTTTATCTGTGCTTGTATGTACAGGTGCGTCCTCGGTGCTGCAGAGCCCTGACGGTAACTGGATCGCTCTGCAGAGCTCTCAGCACTCCCGTCCCAGCCTACTGACCAAGAGAAAGTCGTTAGTGTTCAGCGTCCTGGAGAAAGAGTCTGGCGTAGTCTCGGCCTACGACGAGATGGGCTCCGAGTCCGACCAGGAGGACGACAAGGGGGGCTGGGGGGCCGCGCTGCGCCAGTTCCAACGGAAACTCTCAGACGAGACGTACTACACGGACTCCCAGCACGACCCTGAGTGGACGTACACCCCGGTCCACCTCCCGGTCACCTCGCCCTCCTCGGGCCAGTACACCAACACAGAGACCCTCAACTCTGACTCAGAGTCCTCCTCGGTACCCTCCACCCGCCCCCTGCAAACCCCTCCAGAACTTAATGAAGAAGACAGGCCCTAACCCGGACCAGCATCTTCATCCCCAACAAGCTCAGTACCACCATCATCAGCATCAGCATCAGCATCAACACCAGAACCTCCCTTCGTACTCGCTCCATCCGGAGGCGCTGGATGTGAACTTTAACCCCAAGGTGACAGGGGACAGCAGGCAAAGCAACCATGTCAGGAGGTCACGGAGACGCAGGAAGAGCAAGAGGGAGCTGGCGGGGAACCACACACAGCCCCTTTATTCACCATCTGCACAGGTGGGAGGACATCACTCAAAGCCTTGAGGAAGGTTTTACTTGCAATGACTGTGATATGTGGTTGTCTTATCTACCTTAGTTGAATGCACTGACTGTAAATCTCTCTGGCTGACAGTTTCTGCTAATTGACAAAAAATAAAGATATGGAGCGTGTAGCAGCTACACCAATATCTTCTAATTTCTCATTGACAGCAATAGATTGAGGTACAGAGATGTTTTAATCATCTTTACTCCACCTCATTCTAGTTGTTATAAATGTCTGAAAAAAGGTGTGAAGTCATTGGTCAACCCTCATAAGACGATTGTGAAACATTACTACACCACTAGGTGGCAGGAAAGGACAATGTTTTTTCATATTGAAAGAAATAAGCTTTAAGGTCTCTCCCTATTGCTCTCTCTTTCTGTCTCTTTCTGTCTCTTCTGTCTCTCTCTCTCTCTCTCTCTCTCTCTCTCTCTCTCTCTCTCTCTCTCTCTCTCTCTCTCTCTCTCTCTCTCTCTCTCTCTCTCGATCTCCACCCGTAGGAGAACAGTTTCCTGCTGAACGCCCTGCTAAAAGTGGCATGAGTGAGGAGATGCCAGCGCCTGATGTGGAGCCCATGCCCGAGAACTCCTCTCAGGTCATGACCCCCGAGCCCGAGAACCAGGACACTGTGGCCCCTAACTCTGCGGCCCCCAGCTCCGCTAACCGCATGGCCCCTGCCCCTGGCCCCCTGTCCCCCAGCAGCTCTGGGCCCGGCTCTGGAGACACACTGGAGCAGGAGCTCTACTCCAAACTGGGCCAGCTGGTTGGACGAGCCAACAGCAAGGAAGTAGTGAGCTCGTCCGAAGACGAGACAATCAAAAGTCCCCCCGGAAGGAGAGACAGAGACCGAGAAAGTGACAGACCGAAAGAGAAGCTGAGGCAGAATGAGAGAGAGCGAGATCGGCAGAGACAGAGTGAGAGACAGAGCAGTAAAAGTAGGGATAGGACAAAGAGAGAGACAATGGAGTCAGTGAACGGGCCGGAACTGAAAAAGAGAGAGAGACTAATGGAAAGTCCGACATTGAGAGAGGAGGAGAGAGAGAAGGAGAGGAGGTTGGAGAGAGGAGGGAAGAGTTTGGAAGTGAAAGTAGATGACAGGGAAAATAAGACAGTGGAGAAGAACAGGCAAAGTAAGAGACGACAGAGAAAAGAGGTGGACGGAGAGACCGCAAAAAAGGGGGAACAAGTGGAAGACAGAAAAGAAAAGGCAGGATCCACACCCTCCTCGCCTGCAATTACCCCATCTATCCAGGAGGGGGTGCTGTGTGGTGGACAGGTGAGCAGAGCGAGGCGGAACAGGAAGTCTTTATTTCATGTTTAGCTTTAGCCATAGAGTTGGAAAGAGGGCCAAATCTAGGGATATGGATACTTGGATAGGGATGCTTGGCCCAAAGCCTGTTTTAGCATGGAAAAGATAGGAGATGAGCTCTTTAGTACATCTCTATGGCTTTAGCCTACCATCCACAACCTGTCTGTCCTGTCTGTGTCCTCACCTAAACACGGCAGGGGGCTACCCTGAGTTATCTTTACTCTTATCTTAAACTCTCTGTTTCTTACTCCTCTATCTTGTTTCTCTCGGTCACTCCTTTATTTTCCCTCCCTTTCTTCTGTCTGTACCTTCTACTCATCCTTAACCTCTCCCTCTTCGCTCACCTCTTCTCTAATCCATATTTTTCTGTGACATCCATGTCCCACATCTGTCTTTCACCTGTTTCTCTCTATCTCTCCTTCCCCTTCTCCCTTTCTCCTGTGTCTTTCTGTCCGTCCACCTGTCCGTCCATGTGTGTCTGTCTGTCAGGAGGGACAGAATGGGATGGAACTACAGCAGAGGCTACAGTTGCTCTCCTCTCTCTTACAGCAGGTGAGATCTACTGTCTCTATAACACAGGCCCCAGTCAGGGACACACACACACATACCCTTGTATGCAACATGAGTCATGACTAACAGTCCCAACCTTAACATTCACATGATGCAACCCCAAAACAATCAAATTAATCAGATTTCTGTGATGGAACAACTAACACACTCAGGCATGCACACATGCATCTATCTGATGATTCACTTCTTACAATGCTTAGACACAAGTAAGGCATCATCAAGTGAAACATGGTAGTTTTGTCAGGGGCCATAACGGTATTAGTAACTCTCTCTCTATAATTTACTTCAGTTGTCTCGTGTCCTAAATAGCACCCTATGCCCTATATAGTGCACTACTTTTAACCAGTGCGTGTAGGGAATAGGTTACCATTTGGGACGTAGGTTTGCTCTTATCTAGAGGTAGTCTATTTTAGGGACTTCTGGACACGTTCATATACAGTGGGGGAAAAAAGTATTTAGTCAGCCACCAATTGTGCAAGTTCTCCCACTTAAAAAGATGAGAGAGGCCTGTAAGTTTCATCATAGGTACACGTCAACAATGACAGACAAATTGAGAAAAAATAATCCTGAAAATCACATTGTAGGATTTTTAATGAATTTATTTGCAAATTATGGTGGAAAATAAGTATTTGGTCACCTACAAACAAGCAAGATTTCTGGCTCTCACAGACCTGTAACTTCTTCTTTAAGAGGCTCCTCTGTCCTCCACTCGTTACCTGTATTAATGGCACCTGTTTGAACTTGTTATCAGTATAAAAGACACCTGTCCACAACCTCAAACAGTCACACTCCAAACTGCACTATGGCCAAGACCAAAGAGCTGTCAAAGGACACCAGAAACAAAATTGTAGACCTGCACCAGGCTGGGAAGACTGAATCTGCAATAGGTAAGCAGCTTGGTTTGAAGAAATCAACTGTAGGAGCAATTATTAGGAAATGGAAGACATACAAGACCACTGATAATCTCCCTCGATCTGGGGCTCCACGCAAGATCTCACCCCGTGGGGTCAAAATGATCACAAGAACGGTGAGCAAAAATCCCAGAACCACACAGGGGGACCTAGTGAATGACCTGCAGAGAGCTGGGACCAAAGTAACAAAGCCTACCATCAGTAACACACTACGCCGCCAGGGACTCAAATCCTGCAGTGCAAGACGTGTCCCCCTGCTTAAGCCAGTACATGTCCAGGCCCGTCTGAAGTTTGCTAGAGTGCATTTGGATGATCCAGAAGAGGATTGGGAGAATGTCATATGGTCAGATGAAACCAAAATAGAACTTTTTGGTAAAAACTCAACTCGTCGTGTTTGGAGGACAAAGAATGCTGAGTTGCATCCAAAGAACACCATACCTACTGTGAAGCATGGGGGTGGAAACATCATACTTTGGGGCTGTTTTTCTGCAAAGGGACCAGGACAACTGATCCGTGTAAAGGAAAGAATGAATGGGGCCATGTATCGTGAGATTTTGAGTGAAAACCTCCTTCCATCAGCAAGGGCATTGAAGATGAAACGTGGCTGGGTCTTTCAGCATGACAATGATCCCAAACACACCGCCCGGGCAACGAAGGAGTGGCTTCGTAAGAAGCATTTCAAGGTCCTGGAGTGGCCTAGCCAGTCTCCAGATCTCAACCCCATAGAAAATCTTTGGAGGGAGTTGAAAGTCCGTGTTGCCCAGCGACAGCCCCAAAACATCACTGCTCTAGAGGAGATCTGCATGGAGGAATGGGCCAAAATACCAGCAACAGTGTGTGAAAACCTTGTGAAGACTTACAGAAAACGTTTGACCTGTGTCATTGCCAACAAAGGGTATATAACAAAGTATTGAGAAACTTTTGTTATTGACCAAATACTTATTTTCCACCTTAATTTGCAAATAAATTCATTAAAAATCCTACAATGTGATTTTCTGGATTTTTTTTCCTCATTTTGTCTGTCATAGTTGACGTGTACCTATGATGAAAATTACAGGCCTCTCTCATCTTTTTAAGTGGGAGAACTTGCACAATTGGTGGCTGACTAAATACTTTTTTTCCCCACTGTATAAATGTTATTCAAAGCCACTAGGAATAGATGGAGTCATGAGTGAAAAGCTGATGGTGCTGTATTCAATTTAGATATATGAAGCCGATTGCATTAGCTTATACCCTTACGGAAAAACCACATGATTTCACATGTGGAAAAATCACATGATTTCATGTGAAATTGTGACATGTTTTGCACATATCAAATGTTATTTTACGTGATATTTCACATGTGAAATCATGTAGTTTCACGTGGATATTCTTCACATGAGATTTCACAGGTGATGCCCTGCGAATGTAAATTCGTCGTTAGGATGTCTCCGGAACATCACGCAGTCGCAGTGTTTAACTTACATATTTGACACACTTTGACATACAGTACCTTCAGAAAGTATTCACACCCCTTGACCTTTCCCACATTTTTGTTGTGTTAAAGCCTGAATTTAAAATGGATTCCATTGAGATTGTTGGTCACTGGCCCACACACAATACCCCATCACGTCAAAGTGGAATTATGTTTTTAGAAATGTTTACAAATTAATTAAAAATGAAATGCTGAAATGTATTCAACCCCTTTGTTTTACAAGCCTAAATAAGTTCAGGAGTAAACATTTGCTTAACAACCCACATGGACTCTGTGTGCAATAATAGTGTTTAACATGATTTTGTAATGACTACCTCATCTCTGTACCCCACACATACAATTATCTGTAAGGTTCCTCAGTCGAGCATGAATTTCAAACACAGATTTAACCACAAAGACCAGGGATGTTTTCTAATGCCTCACAAAGAAGGGCACCTATTGGTAGATGGATAGTTTTTAAAGCAGATATTGAATATCCCTTTGAGTATTGTGACGTTATTATCAATACACCCAGTCACTACAAAGATACAGGCGTCCTTCCTAACTCAGTTGCTGGAGAGGAAGAAAACTGCTCAGGGATTTCACCATGAGGCCAATGGTGTCTTTAAAACAGTTAGTGTAATGGCTGTGATAGGAGAAAACTGAGGATGGATCAATAACATTGTAGTTACTCCATAATACGAACCCAATTGACAGAGTGAAAAGAAGGAAGCCTGTACAGAATAAAATGTTCCAAAACATGCATCTTGTTTGCAACATGTAATACAGCAAAAAATGTGGCAAAGCAATTTAACTTTTTGTTCTGATTTGGGGCAAATCCAATAAAATGTTTTCAAGCATAGTGGTGGCTGCATTATGTTATGGGTATGCTTGTAATCTTTATGGATTGGGAAGTTTTTCAGGATAAAAAATAAACGGAATGGAGCCAAGCACAGTCAAAATCCTAGGATAACCTGGTTCAGTCTGCTTTCCACCAGACACTGGGAGATGAATAACCTAAAACACAAGGCCAAATCTACACTGGAGTTGCTTACCAAGAAGACAGTGAATGTTCCTGAGTGGCCGGGTTACAATTTTGACTTAAATATGCTTGAAAATCAATGGCAAGACCAAAAACAATGGTTGTCTAGCAATGATCAATAACCAATTTGACAGAGCCTGAAGAATTTTGAAAATAACATTTTTTATTTTTTTATTTTTTTTATTTCACCTTTATGTCTCCTGAGTGGCGCAGTGGTCTAAGGCACTGCATCGCAGTGCTAACTGTGCCACTAGAGATCCTGGTTCGAATCCAGGCTCTGTCGCAGCCGGCCGCGACCGGGAGACTCATGGGCGGCGCACAATTGGCCCAGCGTCGTCCAGGGTAGGGGAGGGAATGGCCAGCAGGGATGTAGCTCGTTGATTAGAGGCATGGCGTGTGAAAAGCCAGGGTTGTGGGTTCGATTCCACGGCGGGGCCAGTATAAAAAATATATGTATTCACTAACTGTAAGTCGCTCTGGATAAGATCGTCTGCTAAATGACTAAAATGTAAAATGTAATTTAACCAGGTAAGCCAGTTGAGAACAAGTTCTGGCCAAGATAAAGCAAAGCAGTGCGGAAAAAACAACAACAACACAGAGTTACATATGGAATAAACAAAACGTACAGTCAATAACACAATAGAAAATCTATATAAAGTGTGTGCAAATGTAGTAAGTTATGGAGGTAAGGCAATAAATAGGCCATAGTGCAAAATAATTATAATTTAGTATTAACACTGGAGTGATAGATGTGCAGAAGAGTATGTGCAAATAGAGATACTGGGGTGCAAATGAGCAAAATAAATAACAATGTAAATAACAATATGGGGATGCGGTAGTTGGGTGGGCTAATTACAGATGGGCTGTGTACAGGTGCAGTGATCGGTAAGCTGCTCTGACAACTGATGCTTAAAGATAGTGAGGGAGATAAGTGTCTCCAGCTTCAGAGATTTTTGCAGTTCGTTCCAGTCATTGGCAGCAGAGAACTGGAAGGAATGGCGGCCAAAGGAGGTGTTGGCTTTGGGGATGACCAGTGAGATATACCTGCTGGAAAGCAGACTACGGGTGGGTGTTGCTATGGTGACCAATGAGCTAAGATAAGGCGGGGATTTGCCTAGAAGGGATTTATAGATTACCTGGAGCCAGTGGGTTTGGTGACGAATATGTAGTGAGGGCCAGCCAACGAAAGCGTACAGGTCATCACGTAGTCCCGTGTAGCTCAGTTGGTAGAGCATGGCGCTTGCAACGCCAGGGTTGTGGGTTTGATTCCCACGGGGGACCAGTATGAAAATGTATGCACTCACTAACTGTAAGTCGCTCTGGATAAGAGCGTCTGCTAAATGACTAAAGTGTAAAAATATGTCACAATGGTGGGTAGTATATGGGGCTTTGGTGACAAAACGGATGGCACTGTGATATACTACGTCCAATTTGCTGAGTAGAGTGTTGGAGGCTATTTTGTAAATGACATCGCCGAAGTCAAGGATCGGTAGGATAGTCAGTTTAACGAGGGAATGCTTAGCAGCATGATTGAAGGAGGCTTTGTTGCGAAATAGGAAGCCGATTCTAGATTTAACTTTGGATTGGAAATGCTTAATGTGAGTCTGGAAGGAGAGTTTACAGTCTAACCAGACACCTAGGTATTTGTAGTTGTCCACATATTCTAAGTCGGGGGGGGGGCAAGCTGTTGCGGAGGGTGCAGAGCTGTTGGCCGGGGTAGCCAGGTGGAAAGCATGGCCAGCCGTAGCAAAATGCTGGTTGAATTTTTTATCGGTAGTGACAGTGTTTCCTAGCCTCAGTGCAGTGGGCAACTGGGAGGAGGTGCTCTTATTCTCCATGGTCTTTATATTGTCCCAAAACTTTCTGGAGTTAGTGCTACAGGATGCACATTTCTGTTTGAAAAAGTTAGCCTTTGCTTTCCTAACTGATTGTGTATATTGGTTCCTGACTTCCCTGAAAAGTTGCAGATCGCGGGGGCTGTTCGATGCTAATGCCGTACGCCACAGGATGTTTTTGTGCTGGTCAAGGGCAAATGAGCAAATGTTGCACAATCCAGGTGTGGAAAGCACTTATAGACTTACCCAGAAATGATTTGTTTAACACTTTTTTGGTTTCTACATGATTCTATATGTGTTATTTCATAGTTTTGATGTCTTCACTATTATTCTACAATGTTGAAAATAGTAAAAATAAAGAAAAACCCTGGAATGAGTAGGTGTGTCCAAACCTTTGACTGGTACTGTATGTAAATTAGATATTTATTGTATTTCATTTTAAATACATTTGCAAACAATTCTCAAAACATGTTTTCACTTTGTCATAATGGGGTGTTGTGTGTAGATGGGTGAAATAAATGTCATCCATTTTGAATTCAGGCTGTAACACAACAAACTGTGGAATAAGTCAAGAGGTATTAATACTTTCTGAAGGCACTGTACATGATTACATTGTGTATGTTTATTTATACAGTAATTATTATTCAATATGACCTCACCTGGGATTTGAACTCACAACCTCTTGGTTGACAGCATTCCGATCTTCCTGCTACACCGCCATGTCTGTGTCAATAAATGATTTCACTTGGATTCCTACACTTTGGACTTCAAAGTAAATCTCAGCTTTGTTGAAAATTCACTCAAGAAAAACGTTTATATTTTTCATAGTGATTCAGGAGTAACATTAAAACGGAATAATATGCCCCACAACTATACAGAAAACCCTCAAGTTGCTGAAATAAGTAAATGAAATCATTGATGAGAGAATAGTCAGATGAACTGATAACTGAAATAGCAGTGCAGATGGCGTGCAGAGATGTATTATAGTTAATTAATCTGTATGGGACTTCTGAGAATGCTACAGACTTTGTGGCGCAGCAGAAAGATCAGTGTACTCCAGATCAGGGGCGGTGTGTTCATTAGGGCGATATGGGCGACGCACTGCCAAACGGGAAAAGGAAGGGATTTTTTTTCTAATCAATTATATCACGGCAACAGTAGTTATCAGTGTTCTAATCGAGACGTCTGATCTGCCACTACATGTCCAATCAGGCTAAAGTCGTGCTTCAAATGGCCCCGCCCCTTTTGGGGCGATTTCAGTCAGGTTGAAAATCGCCCCAGAAGTCTCTCATAGACTCTCATGTAAAATCTTTTTTTTTCAAATATCAGAGCTTTCAATACAATCTCTATGGGTTCCGGGAGGGCTTGCACTTACGCGCTTTCGTCATACGTAACATAACCATGAACGTAACTAAGAAAAGAGCGGGTAGCAGCGTCAATCAATTCACGTACTACTGTCAAGATGGCTAGCGTTCAGTGCAACTCGATTGTCTCTTTGAAAGAAGTTCCTTTTTGTCGGCGAACAAATCAAGATAAATTGGCAGCGAAACAATTAGGACCTCCCAGACCAAATTTAATAATTCAACAGGTTTCTACTAAAGGGGGAAAGTCCTACAGCCGAGGATTTTCCAAAAATTGGTACGAACGAAAAACCTGGCTAGCAGGCTGCGATGTAGCTAATGCAGTCTTCTGCTACCCCTGCTTACTCTTTCACCCTGAAGGCGGCACGGCAGACAGCACCGCTTGGACAGCGACTGGTGTAACGGACATGCACCATCTTTCAGAAAAGATTAAGAAACATGAGCTGTCAAAGACCCACATGGATAGCTGTTTGAGATTGTCTGCTTTGGGGAGAGTGAACATTGCCACTCAACTGGATGAGGGATACAGGCTAGCTGTCCGCCGCCACAACGATGAGGTTAGCAAGAACCGCCACATCCTCAGCCGGCTAATCCAGTGTGTGAAGTTTTGCTGAGTGTTTGAGTTAGCTTTGCGAGGCAAAGATGAAACTGAGGGCTCCACCAACCCTGGTATTTTTCTTCCAGATCCAGATGTTGTGAGTTCAAATCCCAGGTGGGGTCATTTTGAAAAATCAGTACTAAGTGATCAGGTCAAATGTAATCATATTGATTAAAGATGTTTACACTATCTTAGCTGAACAGTGTGCCACTTACCTTAAAACGCCCATATCATTTCATTACATCCCTTTCAAAAGAACCACATGTGAAATGTGCAGTTTCACATGTTAAACTGAAGTATTCACACGTGAAAACAAAAGAGACATGTGAGGTCAGTTGTTCACATGTGAAAGCATATGTTCACATAAATTAAATTTGGAGTTCACATGTTAAAACCACCTTTTCACATGTGAGGAGAAGTGCAGACTGTAACACAACAAAAACATTCACATGTAAAAATCGAATTTGCAGTTTTACATGTGAAAACTTTGAAATGTTGTCATGTGTAATTTCATGGTATCACAGGTTAACATGTTTGCATCCCCATGTTGTCACATTTATTTCACATGAGATCATGTTATCACAAATGCTCAAAGATTTTCACATGTAGTTTCATGTTAATGTTATCATATTAACTTCACATAAGGTAATGTGAAATTCATGTGTTTTTTCTGTGTAGTCGTTTTCTTTAGTGCTTTTCCTTTTAATTCCTATTTCAATAAATGTTTTACATTTGTAAAGGCAGATGCTGGTGTATGACCACAGCAAAGGTGTGAAACAGCATAAAAATGGATGGATTTATTAATTATAGTATATACCATGGTGTATGTCACACACCCACACACTGTTAAGGGTACATTTTTAGTTGTGCCGGTGCTACTAAAATCCTTCTCTTGGATGGCTTACCTGTGTAAAGTCATGTCCCTTTTTATTCCAAATAAATAAAACAAATGACCGCAACAACAACGTTTTCAATTCATGGTGCTCTTGTTTATATTTTTAAAAAGCTGACGTATTTATTTTAAGAAATAAGAGCATCATGAATTGAAAACTTTGCTGTTGCTGTCATTTGTGGGAGATGCTGTGACCATTCGTCTTTTGGAATAACCAGGACACTTTAAAGTATATTTGCACAGCTCTCGGTTCCCATTAGACTTGCTCTCAATCAATTAATAATACATGGGCTAATGTCTAGACAGCTCTCCACTTGTTTGACAAAAGTATAGATCTGCAACATGTTCATATCACTCATGCACACACTGCATGGTATCTCAGGAATACAAGTCTTTTTAAAGTTGGATACACTTTCTAAAGCGCTTTCTAAACACAAATGTCGCAGTAGGAAATGGAGCCGTGTGTTGGAGCCATGTGATAATGATGTATCTTTGTAATGGAGGTGACGGCCAAAACTCTCACTCCAGCTCCCATTACCCATCTACGTACTCAGTTGGTACCTGAAATCTTTCTCTCTCACTCTTTGCTCTCTAAGTCACAGCTGAGTGTTCAAAAGGAGCCGCCTCTCATCTCGTCTCATCTCCCGCTCGAGTGCCACCCACTAACACCCCCTAATACCCACACTGTACACACTTCCTTTCAAAGCCCACGTACGTCGCTAGCTAGCTAACGCATATTAAAGAGAGAGAGAGAGAGTTGGATCAATGCACTCGTTAGTCCCACAGATCAAAGCTTCAAGCCAAGGATGATCTCATTATTGAAGCGATCATCGATCTCTCTCCTTCTCCCTCTTCCCTCTCACCTTTTCATCCATTCAGATGTACTTGTTTGTACTTTACAGTAGGAGTGTGTTTTGTTACAGACTTGTAGGTTCGAGACTACACTTTCACTTACCGTATTTTCGTACATTTTTTACTTTTTTAGTAGAGGAAAACGTGAATACAGTAATTGTAACTCTGTTAGGTCCCCTGTCACCCTTCTATGACCTCTATAACTTAAACGTATAAAATACTAGAATCTACTAATAGACAAGGTCAACAGCTCCCTTCCTCTTCCACATGAAGCCTCACACTCTTCTTCCTCCACCTGATTGCTCCTTGCAGGTCGAGCGTGAGTCATGACGATGTGTGTGTCTTCACACTGGCACTGATTGGAGGTGTAAAAGCTCTGTGTCATTGAGGCCAATGCTGTTAACATCTCGCTTGGACCCTGTCACGACTCTCCTTTCGACTGTTCCATATTTGTTTGTACTCACTAATGATAGTCATGTTCGTGCCTGTGTGTGTCTGACTCGTATCTCTGTGTGTGTTGTGTGTCTGTTTCTATGTGGCATGTCTCTGTGTGTGTATGTGGTGTGTGTTTGTGTGTGTGTCTTGATGTGTGTGTGCACATGTGTGTGTTGTGCAGAAGTGCTCGGCCACGTCGCTGTGCAGTATCACCACAGAGGTCCTGAAGGTGCTCAACGCCACAGAGGAGCTGATTGGTGAGGCGGGGGGCGATAGCGTCACCCCCTCTGAGTGTATGAGTGCGTCTGAGTCCTTCTCCAGCAGCTTAGAGACCAGGAAGCTGGACCAGAAACTCACCAAGATGGAGGAAAACGTAAGACCCACAGCCTACATACATCTGCATGTTGGTGGTCACTATCTGGCCATGCTAGAAAGGACCAAAGTGCAGCGCTTTCTAAACCCTAAATAGCGTATGTGTACTTGCTCATCTGAAGTCAATATCAGAGCCACTTTTGTCCCTCTTAGCATGACCATATAGTGACTACCCCCTGTAGAGACTAAACAAGAAAGGCCCAAGGATAGAGCCCTGTGGGACCCCAACATTGTTACGCTCAGCACCTGTGCCCATTGACCTCTCCTGTAACACTTGACTTGTCCCTCCCTGTAGGTGTACCTGGCTGCGGGGGCGGTGTACGGCCTGGAGGGGGCACTGGGGGACCTGGAGGAGATGGCCCGAGGCATCAGCAGTGGCACCTCAGACAGAGAGCTGGCCTTCCTGGAGGACCAGGTTGGCCACTGCCGCCGCCCAGGTGCAGCAGTCTGAGCTCCAGGTAGGGGTGTCCATTCATATCAAAACGCCCAGTTGTTTCTATGAATGCATTCCATGCTGATTACATTGCAGACGCATGTTAGAATCGACGCATGCCCAACTGTGCAGTTGATGACGTGGCAATGTGGTGGGCATGGAACGCAACCAATGTCTGATGGTCCTGTAAGGATGCAGGTTTTAATGTGGAGACTGGAGAGAATGCGGAGGATATGTAATTGTATTCCAATGGTGTCTTATTAATTAATCAATTAATTAAATTAACCTGAGCCTTGATGTACTCTACACTACATCTACAGCAAATGTAATTTTCTTTTCTGAATAATTTTTAATCTTTCTCCTCCAGATATCAGACATCGAGGTGAGGATATTATCTCTAAAAACAGCTGGTCTGAACGTCGCCGCCTGCAATCGTTTCTCCAAGTTCTCCAATCCAAAACCTAAGGTACTGTAGTATATTCCCACCTCACAATTATTACACACTGCTACACCCTCATATGGCCACTGTATTCACCGTACTGATCTGTCATTCTGCAGCCTCAAACCCTTGACACGTCACGCCAACAGAGGAGGAAACTACCTGCCCCTCCAGTCAAAGGTAACAGACAACTTGTTGAAATGATCACAAAGAAAATCTGGTTTGAACATTTGCTTTTGAAAAATGTTAAATGTTCTGTTTAATCCATTTCCTTTTTCGACTTCTTTTTAATGGAGTTTATAGGGTTGACTCCCCTTGTTGATAAAAAAAAGTACCAGGTCGCAAAAAAGACCCAAACTTTGTCACTTCATAAAATGTCAGACTGTGTAATGTCACACTGTCTCAATGAGCAGGTTTTGCCTTTCAGAAGTCTGAAAATACACTCATACCTTCTTTAGGCTTTGATGTGCGTGTTGCATAGATCGTGGCTGACATCACTGTGGCAACAGAAAGTTGTCTGCTCCACAGAATAACACACCCTTTTCCATGTGTGGACGTTGGCTTGGCAGAAAGATTTGTGTTCATACTTAGAAGACTAACATCACGTTTGGATCTAAAGGAAGAGGTTGAATGGATGCCAGACTAAATGTACCAGGTAGAGAGGGAAGATATAGACAGGAAAGAAAGAGAAAGGTTCCATTAGGAAAGAGAGAAGGAGCACAGAGAATAAGAGACGAATCGGACGGCTGCGTCATTAATTAATTATTAATGGGGGTTATTCTTTTTTTGATACCATCAAGCAGCTTTTCCACATGGTTAGTGAATCACTCGGTTTTAGCCTTAGTTTCAAAGTAAAACACAACACAACAGAGGCTAAATCAAAGACGTGGTCTCATATAGTCATATAACATCGATATCAGAACGGGATCGACAGTGCATCTTTGAAAGAGACTGTTATTCGACTATCAATCAATCAAATGTATTTATAAAGCCCTTTTTACATCAGCAGATGTCACAAAGTGCTTATACAGAAACCCATCCTAAAACCCCAAAGAGCAAGCAATGCAGATGTAGGAGCACAGTGGCTAGGAAAAACTCCCTAGAAAGGCAGGAACCTTGGAAGAAACCTAGAGAGGAACCAGGCTCTGAGGGGTAGCCAGTCCTCTTCTGGCTGTGCCGGTGGAGATTATAGGAGTACAGGGCCGTTAAGGCTAGATCGCTCATTCAACATTTTCAAACGTTCATAGATTACCAGAATGGTCAAATAATAATCACAGTGGTTATAGAGGGTGCAACAGGTCAGCACCTCAGGAGTAAATGTCAGTTGGCTTTTCCTAGCTGAGCATTCAGAGGTCGAGACAGCAGGTGCGGTAGAGAGAGAAAGAGGGAGAGAGAGGGTCATAACATCAGGGCCGGGATAAGGTAGCAGGTCACGTGAACAGGTCAGGGTTCCATAACCACAGGCAGAACATCAGAAACTGGATCAGCAGCACGACCAGGTGGACTGGGGACGGGGACAGCCAGGAGTCATCAGGCCAGGTAGTCCTGAGGTATGTTCCTAGGGATCAGGTCCTCCGGGAGGGGAGAGAGCGAGAGAGAGAGATGGGAGAATTAGAGGGTGCATACTTAAGATCACACAGGACACCAGATATGAAAGGAGAAATACACCAGATAGGACAAACTGACCCTTGCACATAGATTGTTGCAGCATAGACACTGGGGACTGAGACAGGGGGGTCAGGGGACAATGTGGGCACGTCTGATGATACCCCCGGACAAGGCCAACCAGGCAGGATATAACCCCACCCACTTTGCCAAAGCACAGCCCCCACACCACTAGAGGGAAATCAACTGACTACCAACTTACTACCCTGAGACAAGGCGGAGTATACAGTGCATTCACTTTTTCCACATTTTGTTATGTTTAAGCCTTATTCTAAAATGGATTAAATAGTTTTTCCCCCCCTTATCAATCAACGCACAATACCCCATAATGACGAAGCAAAAACAGGTTTGTAGACATTTTTGCAAATGTATTAAAAATAAAAAACGGAAATATAACATTTGCATAAGTATTCAGACCCTTTACTAAGTACTTTGTTGAAGCACCTTTGGCAGCGATTACAGCCTAGATTCTTCTTGGATATGACGCTACAAGCTTGGCACACCTGTATTTGGGAAGTTTGTCCCATTCTTCTCTGCAGATCCTCTCAAACTCTGTCAGGTTGGATGGGGAGCGTCGCTGCACAGCTATTTTCAGGTCTTTCCAGAGATGTTCGATCGGGTTCAAGTCCGGGCTCTGGCTGGGCCACTAAAGGACATTCAGAAACTTCTCCCGAAGCCACTCCTGCGTTGTCTTGGCTGTGTGCTTAGGGCCGCTGTCCTGTTGGAAGGTGAACCTTCGCCCCAGTCTGAAGTCCTGAGTGCTCTGGAGCAGGTTTCTATCAAGGATATCTCTGTACTTTGCTCTGTTCATTTTTCCCTCAATCTTGACTAGTCTTCCAGTCCCTGCAGGTGAAAAACATCCCCACAGCATGATGGTGCCACCACCATGCTTCACCGTAGGGATGGTGCCAGGTTTCCTCCAGATGTGACGCTTGGCATTCAGGCCAAAGAGTTCAATCTTGGTTTCATCAGACCAGAGAATCTCGTTTCTCATGGTCTGAGAGTTTCTCATGGTCTTAGGTGCCTTTTTGCAAACTCCAAGCGGGCTGTCATGTGCCTTTTACTGATGAGTGGTTTCCGTCTGGCCACTCTACCATAAAGGCCTGATTGGTGGAGTGCTGCAGAGATGGTTGTCCTTCTGGATGTTTCTCCCATCTCAACAGAGGAACTCTGGATCTCTGTCAGAGTGACCATCAGGTTCTTGGTCACCTCCCTGTCCAAGGCCCTTCTCCCCCAATTACTCCGTTTGGCCGGGCGGCCAGCACTAGGAAGAGTCTTGCTGGTTCCAAACTTCTTCCATTGAAGAATGATAGAGGCCACTGTGTTCTTGGGGACATTCAATGCTGCAGGAAGTTTTTGGTGCCCTTCCCCAGATCTGTGCCTCAACAAATTCCTGTCTTGGAGCTCTACGGACAATTCCTTCGACCTCATGGCTTGGTTTTTGCGCTAACATGCACTGTCAACTGTAGGACCTTATATAGACAGCTGTGTGCCATTCCAAATCATGTCCAATCAATTGAATTTACCACAGGTGTACTCCAATCAAGTTGTAGAAACATCTCAAGGATGATCAATGGAAACAGGATGCACCTGAGCTCAATTTCGAGTCACATAGCAAAGGGTCTGAATACTCATGTAAATAAGGTATTTCTGTTTTTTTATTTGTAATACATTTGCTAAAGATTCTAAAAACCTGTTTTCGCATTGTCGTTATGGGTTATTGTGTGTAGATTGATGAGCAAAAAATATATTTAATCCATTTTAGAATAAGGCGCTGTAACGTCACAAAATGTGGAAAAAGTGATGCGGTCTGAATACTTTCCGAATGCACTGTAGCCCAAGGAGATCTCCCGGACCACACATTTACATTTACATCATTTAGCAGACGCTCTTATCCAGAACGACTTACAAATTGGTGCATTCAACTTATGATAGCCAGTGGGACAACCACTATGGGGGGGTGGGGGAGGGAGGGGTAGAAGGATTACTTTTATACTATTCCAGGTATTCCTTAAAGAGGTAGGGTTTCAAGTGTCGCCGGAAGGTGGTCAGTGACTCCGCTGTCCTGGTGTCGTGGGGGAGCTTGTTCCACCATTGGGGTGCCAGAGCAGCGAATAGCTTTGACTGGGCTGAGCGGGAACTGTGCTTCCGTAGAGGTAGGGGGGCTAGCAGGCCAGAGGTGGATGAACGTAGTGCCCTCGTTTGGGTGTAGGATCAGAGCCTGAAGGTAAGGAGGTGCTGTTCCCCTCACAGCTTCGTAGGCAAGCACCATGGTCTTGTAGTAGATGCAAGCCTCAACTGGAAGCCAGTGGAGTGTGCGGAGGAGCGGGGTGACATGAGAGAACTTGGGAAGGTTGAACACCAGACGGGCTGCAGCGTTCTGGATAAGTTGTAGGGGTTTAATGGCACAGGCAGGGAGCCCAGCCAACAGCGAGTTGCAGTAATCCAGACGGGAGATGACAAGTGCCTGGATTAGGACCTGTGCCGCATTCTGTGTGAGGTAGGGTCGTACTCTGCGAATGTTGTATAGCATGAACCTGCAGGATTGGGTCACCGCTTTGATGTTAGCGGAGAACGACAGGGTGTTGTCCAGGGTCACGCCAAGGTTCTTTGCACTCTGGGAGGAGGACACAATGGAGTTGTCAACCATGATGGCGAGATCATGGAGCAGGCAGTCCTTCCCCGGGAGGAAGAGCAGCTCCGTCTTGCCAAGGTTCAGCTTGAGGTGGTGATCCGACATCCACACTGATATGTCTGCCAGACATGCAGAGACGCGATTCACCACCTGGTTATCAGAAGGGGGAAAGGAGAAAATTAATTGTGTGTCGTCTGCGTAGCAATGATAGGAGAGACCATGTGAGGATATGACAGAGCCAAGTGACTTGGTGTATAGAGAGAATAGGAGAGGGCCTAGAACTGAGCCCTGGGGGACACCAGTTGTGAGAGCACGTGGTGCGGAGACAGATTCTCGCCACGCCACCTGGTAGGAGCGACCTGTCAGGTAGGACGCAATCCAAGAGTGAGCAGCGCTGGAGATGCCCAACTTGGATAGTGTGGAGAGGAGGATCTGATGGTTCACAGTATCAAAGGCAGCAGATAGGTCTAGAAGGAGGAGAGAGAGTTAGCTTTAGCAGTGTGGAGAGCCTCCGTGACACAGAGAAGAGCAGTCTCAGTTGAATGACCAGTCTTGAAACCTGACTGGTTTGGATCAAGAAGGTCATTCTGAGAGAGATAGCAGGAGAGTTGGCTAGAGATGGCACGCTCAAGAGTTGTTGACATCGGAGGGATCGAGTGTAGGTTTTTTGAGGAGGGGTGCAACTCTCGCTCTCTTGAAGATGGAAGGGACATGGCCAGCGGTCAAGGATGAGTTGATGAGCGAGGTGAGGTAAGGGAGAAGGTCTCCGGAAATGGTCTGGAGAAGAGAGGAGGGGATAGGGTCAAGCGGGCAGGTTGTTGGGCGGCTGGCCGTCACAAGTCGCAAGATTTCATCTGGAGAGAGAGGGGAGAAAGAAGTCAAAGCATAGGGTAGGGCAGTGTGAGCAGGACCAGCGGTGTCATTTGACTTAATAAATGAGGATCGGATGTCGTCAACCTTCTTTTCAAAATGGTTGATGAAGTCATCCACAGAGAGGGAGGAGGGAGGGGGAGGAGGAGGATTCAGCAGGGAGGAGAAGGTGGCAAAGAGCTTCCTAGGGTTAGAGGCAGAGGCTTGAAATTTAGAGTGGTAGAAAGTGGCTTTAGCAGCGGAAACAGAGGAAGAGAATGTAGAGAGGAGGGAGTGAAGAGATGACAGGTCCGCAGGGAGTCTAGTTTTCCTCCATTTCCGCTCAGCTGCCCGGAGCCCTCTTCTATGAGCTCACAATGAGTCATCAAGCCACGGCGGAGCAGGAGGGGAGGACCGAGCCGGCCGGGAGGATAGGGGACATAGAGAGTTAAAAGATGCAGAAAGGGAGGAGAGGAGGGTTGAGGAGGCAGAATCAGGAGATTGGAAGGAGAAGGATTTAGCAGAGGTAAGAGATGATAGGATGGAAGAGGAGAGAGTAGCGGGAGAGAGAGAGCGAAGGTTGCGACGGCACATTACCATCTGAGTAGGGGCAGAGGGGGTAGTGTTGGAGGAGAGCGAGAGAGAAAAGGATACAAAGTAGTGGTCGGAGACTTGGAGGGGAGTTGCAGTGAGATTAGTAGAAGAACAGCATCTAGTAAAGATGAGGTCAAGCGTATTGCCTGCCTTGTGAGTAGGGGGGGGACGGTGAGAGGGTGAGGTCAAAAGAGGAAAGGAGTGGAAAGAAGGAGGCAGAGAGAAATGAGTCAAAGGCAGACGTAGGGAGGTTAAAGTCACCCAGAACTGTGAGGGGTGAGCCATCATTTTACATTTACATTTTAGTCATTTAGCAGATGCTCTTATCCAGAGCGACTTACAGTTAGTGAGTGCATACATTTTCATACTGGTCCCCCGTGGGAATCGAACCCACAACCCTGGCGTTGGAAACGCCATGCTCTACCAACTGAGCTACACGGGACTCCATCCTCAGGAAAGGAACTTATCAAGGCATCAAGCTCATTGATGAACTCTCCAAGGGAACCTGGAGGGCGATAAATGACAAGGATGTTAAGCTTGAATGGGCTAGTGACTGTGACAGCATGGAATTCAAATGAGGAGATAGATAGATGGGTCAGGGGAAAAAGAGAGAATGTCCACTTGGGAGAGATGAGGATTCCTGTGCCACCGCCGCGCTGACCAGATGCTCTCGGGGTATGCGAGAACACATGATCAGACGAGGAAAGAGCAGTACTAGTAACAGTGTTTTCTGTGGTAATCCATGTTTCTGTCAGCGCCAAGAAGTTGATGGACTGGAGGGTAGCATAGGCTGAGATGAACTCTGCCTTGTTGGCCGCAGAACGGCAGTTCCAGAGGCTGCCGGAGACCTGGAACTCCACGTGGGTCATGCGCGCAGGGACCACCAGATTAGAGTGGCAGCAGCCACACGGTGTGAAGCGTTTGTATGGCCTGTGCAGAGAGGAGAGAACAGGGATAGACAGACACATAGTTGACAGGCTACAGAAAAGGCTACAATAATGCAAAGGAGATCGGAATAAAATTAACTAAACATCTGGGAAAGCGAGAGAGCGGGGCCTCCCTCACTTACGTTTCACTGAAACACTCAAATATAACTCTCCCAACTTCCACTTTAGAAATTATAGTTGTTGTAAACTACAGCGGTTCAATGTTTTCTAGGAATAGACTCTAACTTAGTTTACTAGATGCAGTTAGTTAGCTATAGAATAGTTACCATATTAGCTAGCCATTGCTCTATGTCAACGAACCAACCCCTCCTCCCACGGTATGAAACACACAGAGAGAGCCAAGCTAACGGTAACTAGTCGCCCATGTCTTGAATTCCTTTTGAACGACTCTGGTTACTAGTATGTATAAATAAAATTAAAATAAATGTAGGTTATAACTTACCCTTAGTAGCTACTGTTATCTAGTTACGTGTAAAGCTAGCTACTGAATCGATTTAGCACGTCGTTCGCGTCTGTCCCAACGGAGAGAAAGCGTCTCCAAACATTACAGCTAGGTCGTTCCAGCTATTGTTTAGTTAGCTATCCAGGTAGCAACAAGCTTGCTACATTTCGAGTACAGTAGCTCCTACTACTACCTAACGATAATGCTTCAGATAATGAGGTTAGAAAAACAGCTGAATGGTAGGTAGCTATCTGGCATAATTACAGGTACTCTTAAGTGTGAAATAACATTGGAAACAACTATCCACAGTTGCTAATAGTTACCAGTAGCTACCCGCTAGCTAGCTAGCTTTATTGGTCCAGGTAGTGGGTTAGCTATCCTCGTGCTTCACTGGGCTCAGCCGAATACAATACTTACCTACGATAATTACCTACAATAACTACCTAGATAAACTACCTACAATACCTAACTACAATACCTACCTACAATCTAAATACATGGTTTAAGCTTTACTCGACACCATATTAAGAAGAAGCTAAGCTTACCTCCCGCTTAGAGAAACCCATCCTCACCCCATCGCTTGGCTCAACTTCCTATATTCATATCCAACCCTATTCACAGTTTCAAGCACCTGTATGTGTCTCTGGCATTCAAAACCATTTAGCATCTATTCCAAAAAGAAAACACAATTTACTATTAACACTTAGAATCATATCATGTTTTTCTGTCAACATAATGTGATGCTTCTATCTGGCTGCATCACTGTGTCAATCATAGACATTCAAATCAGTAGATAGAGATAGCGCTGACGTCATCCACATATTCCTATGGAAAACTCCTGATGGCGCATGAAGCCGGGGGCACAAGACCAGACAGGAAGATAACGTGACTCAATCCACTCAAATCGAGTATAGCGAAAATAGCCTGGCAAGACATGATGCACCCCTCCTAGGGACGGCATGGCAGAGCACTAGCAATTCAGTGACTCAACCCCCGTAATAGGGTCAGAGGCAGAGAATCCCAGTGGAGAGAGAGGAGCCGGCCAGGCAGAGACAGCAAGGGTGGTTCGTCACTCCAGTGCCTTGCTGTTCACCTTCGCACCCCTGGGCCAGACTACACTCAATCATAGGACCTACTGAAGAGATTATTCTTCAGTAAAGACTTAAAGGTTGAGACCGAGTCTGCGTCTCTCACATGGATCGGCAGACCATTCTATAAAAATGTTGCTCTATTGGAGAAAGCCCTGCCTCCAGCTGTTTGCTTAGAAATTCTAGGAACAATAAGGAGACCTACATCTTGTGACCGTAGCGTACGTGTAGGTATGTACGGCAGGACCAAATCGGAGAGATAGGTAGGAGCAAGTACATGTAATGCTTTGTAGTTTAGCAGTAAAACCTTGAAATCAGCCCTAGCCTTAACAGGAAGCCAGTGTAGAGAGGCTAGCACTGGAGTAATATGATCACATTTTTGGTTCTAGTCAAGATTCTAGCAGACGTATTTAGCACTAGCTGAAGTTCATTTAGTGCTTTATCCGTGTAGCCGGAGAGCAGAGCATTGCAGTAGTCTAATCTTGAAGTGGCAAAAGCATGGATTACCTTTTCTGCATCATCAGATTTTTGCAATGTTATGGAAAAAAGCTGCTCTTGAAATATTTTTGATATGTTCGTCAAAAGAGAGATTAGGGTCCAGAGTAACGCCAAGGTCCATCACAGTTTTATTTGAGACGACTGTACAACCATCGAGATTAATTGTCAGATCAAACAGCAGATCTCTTTGTTTCTTGGAACCTAGAACTAGCATCTCTGTTTAAAAGTAAAAAATGTGCCGCCATCCACTTCCTTATGTCTGAAACACATGCTTCCAGGGTAGACAATTTTGGGGCTTCACCATGTTTCCAAAAAATTTACAGCAATGTGTCGACTGCATAGCAGTGAAAGTTGACATTGTGTTTCCAAATGACATCACCAAGAGGTAGTATATATAGTGAAAACAAAAGGGGTCCTAAAACAGAACCTTGAGGAACACCGAAACTTACCATTGACTTGTCAGAGGACAAACCATCCACAGATTTAGATAAGCTCTAAACCAGGCAAGTGCTTGTCTGCGTAGACCATTTTGGGTTTCCAATCTCTCCAAAACAGTGGTCGCCAACCGGTCGATCGCAATCGACTGGTCGATCTTCAAGGCATTCCTAGTCCATCACCAAACATTTCTGTAGAAAAGCCAACGATAAAGGCTTGCACTCCTTTTTTTTTTTATTATTGATTTTGCGCTGTTGGCGGTAGGTGCACTTGATTCAGAAGCCCTGCGCACCGGGTAAGCAAAGTGTTCCCATTTTGAACCATTTCATTTGTCTGAAAAGACAAACTCCGCCTACCCGGTGGACCGGGAGATCTGTGGCTAGATCGAGTGCTCCTACTGCGCTGGCCAATTGGATAGCTCAAATCACCATACCTATAGAGCTTCTACGACCCCGGCCACAGCAAAGTTTGATACTAGCCTACATAAGATTTAATAATTTGTAAAACCATGACCACAGAGAGACTGTCAAAGAATACAGCAAAGAGCTGCTGTTTTTATGAGTGAGTTCATGTTTGTTTTTATTCAGCTCAGTCAACACTGTTTTTATTCAACACTATTACAAAACATAAAACGCGCTTCTCCATACTTCCACTCGCGCTGCAATGAATGAGTAGCCAAGTGTATCATTAGCCCTGTGTTTTTATTATTATTAGCAGCTCGTCAAGTCTACTATAATATAGAGAGATATTTCACATTCTCTGGTCATAGGAACAACATCACTTTGTGTATGACTGAGGCAGATGCGGTGCGACTCGAGTTTCGCCATCAGGTGAAAGAGGTCTACCCTCTCTGGTCAGTCTCACCGGAGGAAAGGAAGGAGAGTGCAGGGACCGTGAGAGGTGGACCCTCTGCTGCTCTGTCCCTCCCGCCGCTGACTTGGAATTCCAAGTCGGAAACTCTCCGACCTAAAGACCACTGCCGTCATGATTTGACCTTTGTTTTTTTTCGAGTTCCCAGTTGCCTTGAAAGCACCATGACCATCAGATGCAGGTACCATCAGTCCAGTAAAATAAAAAAGCAAATTATTTCAATTTATGGTCCGCAGTCCCTTGCAAGTGCTACACCAACTGATCTATTTTGTTATCAAAGCTTGAGTTTTGAAATAACAATATTGTCAGGCCAGGCCAGCCAAAAATCTGAGTGGTAGATCTCTGCTTCCTTTTTGACTGCGAAAGTGATCTTGACTCAGAAAAGGTTGGTGTCCACTGCTCCAAAAGAATGTGGTGATCGATGATGTTAAAAGCGGCACTAAGGTCTAGTAGCACAAGGACAGATGCAGAGCCTTGGTCTGACGCCATTAAAACTTAATTTACCACCTTCATGAGTGTAGTCTCAGTACTATGATGGGGTCTAAAATCAGACTGGAGCTTTTCGTAAAAGCAACAGCTTTTTCAACAACAACAAAAATGTGAGGAATGGGAGATTCGATATAGGCCGATAGTAAAACAAAACAAAAAAAAGTGTGGGTCAAGGTTTGGTTTTTTCAGGAGAGGCTTTATTACTGCCACTTTTAGGGAGTTTGGTACACATCGGGAGGATAGGGAGCCATTTATTATGTTCAATATAGGAGGGCCAAGCACAGGAAGTAGCTCTTTCAATAGTTTAGTTGGAATAGGGTCCAGTAGGCAGTTGGAAGGTTTAGAGGCCATGACTATTTTCGTGAATGTGTCGACAGATACAGGATTAAAAATTTCCATTGATCCGAGGTCCTGGCAGTTCTGTGCAGACTCAGGACAACTGAGTTTTGGAGAAATACACCTATTCAAAGAGGAGTTTGTCATTTGCTTTCTAATGATCAGGATCTTTAAGTTGAAGAAGTTTATGAATTCATCACTGCTGAAATGAAGGGCCTCCTCACTTGGGGAATGCTGCTTTTTTGTTAGCTTTGCAACAGTATCAAAAATGAATGTAGGATTGTTTTTATTCTCCTCATTCAGGTTTGAAAAGTAGGCTGATCGAGCAGCAGTGAGGGCTTTTCGATGTTGCACGTTACTGTCTTTCTAAGGTAGTCATTAGACTTTCAATTTGGTGCAGCGGCATTTCTTTTCCAATTTTCTGGAAGCTTGTTTCAGGGCTCAGGTATTTTCTGTATACCATTTGTTTTTGTTTTTAGGGGTGCGACTGCATCTAGGGTATTACGCAAAGTTATGTCTAGATCCTCGGTTAGGTGGTTTACAGATTTTTGTACTCCAATGTCCTTGGTAGGTGGAGGGAGTCTGCAAGGGCATCTAGGAATCTTTGCGTTGTCTGATTAATTTATAGTGCAGCTCTTGATAATCCTTGGTTGGGGTCTAAGCTAATTATTTGTTGCGATTGAAAAAGCGTAATAAAATGGTGGTCCGATAGTCCAGGATTATGAGGAAAAACATTTAGATCCACAATATCTATTCCACGGGACAAAACTAGATCTAGGGTATGATTGTGGCAATGCGTAGGTCCCGAGTCGATGATGGCTCCGAAAGCCTTTCGGAGTGGGTCTGTGGACTTGTGAATATTGAAGTCACCAAAAATGTGAATACAGATGCAGCTCAATAAATTAGAATATTGTGGAAATGTTAAGTTTCAATAATTCAATTGACAAGTGAAACTCATAAATATCGTGGATTAATTACACAAAAAGTGAAATAGTTCAAGCCTGTATTTGTTTTAATCTTGATGATTATGGCTTACAGCTCATGAAAACCCCAAATTCAGTATCTCAGAAAATTAGAATATGACATAAGACCAGTGAAAAAAGGAAATTTAATACAGACATGTCAGCCTTCTGAAAAGTATGTTCTTGTACATGCAGTCAGTACTTGGGTTGGGGCTCCTTTTGCATGAATCACTGCATCTATGCGGCGTGGCATGGAGTCGATCAGCCTGTGGCACTGCTGAGGTGTTATGGAAGCCCAGGTTGCTTCGATAGCGGCCTTCAGCTCGTCTGCATTGTTGGGTCTCGTGTCTCTCATCTTCCTCTTGACAATACCCCATAAATTCTCTATGGGGTTCAGATCAGGCGAGTTTGCTGGCCAATCAAGCACAGTAATCCCATGGTCATTGAACCAGGTTATTGGTACCTTTGGCAGTGTGGGCAGGTGCCAAGTCCTGCTGGAAAATGAAATCAACATCTCCATAAAGGTTGTCAGCAGAAGGAAGCATGAAGTGCTCTAACATTTCCTAGTAGACGGCTGAGTTGACTTTGGACTTGATGAAACACAGTGGACCAACACCAGAAGATGACATGGCTTCCCAAATCATCACTGACTGTGGAAACTTCACACTGGACTTCAAGCAACTTGGATTATGTGCCTCTCCACTCTTCCTCCAGACTCTGGGACCTTGATTGCCAAATGAAATGCAAAATGTACTTTCATCTGAAAAGAGGACTTTGGACCACTAAGCGACAGACCAGTTATTTTTCTCCTTAGCCCAGGTTAGACGCTTCTGATGTTGTCTCTGGTTCAGGAGTGGCTTGACACGAGGAATGCGACAGTTGTAGCCCATTTCCTGGATACGTCTGTGCGTGGTGGCTCTTGATGCACTGACTCCTGCCTCAGTCCACTCCTTGTGAAGCTCCCCCACATTTTTGAATGGCCTTTGCTTGACAATCCTCTCAAGGCTCCGGTTATCCCTGTTGCTTGTGCAACTTTTCCTACCACACTTCTTCCTTCCACTCGACTTTCCATGAAAATGCTTGGATACAGCACTCTGTGAACAGCCAGCTTCTTTAGCAATGATCTTTTGAGGCTTTCCCTCCTTGTGGAGGGTGTTGATGACTGTCTTCTGCACAACTGTCAAGTCAGCAGTCTTCCCCATGATTGTGAAGCCTACTGAACTGGACTGAGAGACCATTTAAAGGCTCGGGAAACCTTTGCAGGTGTTTTGAGTTAGTTAGCTGATTGTGGGCTCCCGAGTGGTGCAGTGGTCTAAGGCACTGCATCTCAGTGCTTGAGGCGTCACTACAGACCCCCTGGTTCGATTCCAGGCTGTATCACAACCGGCCGTAATTGGGAGTCCCATTGGGCGGCGCACAATTGGCCCAACGTCGTCCGGGTTTGGCCGGTGTATGCCATTATTGTAAATAAGAATTTGTTCTTAACTGACTTGCCTAGTTAAATAAAGGTTAAATAAAATTGTATGAGTGTGACACCTTGAGTCTACAATATTGAACTTTTTCACAATATTCTAATTTTCGGAGATAATGAGGAGTTAAAGACCTGTCTATGTTGATAGATAAGATGAGAGCACCCCTCCAGCTAGGATGGTGTCCGTCACTCCTCAGCAGGCCAGCCTTGGTCCTGTTTGTGGGTGAGTCCCAGACTAGAGCTTATGTAATGATTATTTAACTAAGGGACTAATGTTTTGCTGTTTCTCTCTCTGTCTTGGGAACTTCTACATTTTATGCCAAATTCTGATGAAATATTACCAGATACACTGAGTATACAAAACATTAGGAACACCTACCAAGTGACAGATTGACCAGGTGAATCAAGGTGAAAGCTATGATCCCTTATTGATGTCACTTGTTAAATTAATTCAGTGTAGATTAAGGGGAGGAGACAGGTTTTTTAAGCCTTGAGACAATTGAGACATGGATTGTGTATGTGTGCCATGGGCAAGACAAAAGATTGAAGTGCCTTTGAACAGGTTATGGTTGTAGGTGCCAGGCGCACCGGTTTGAGTGTGTCAAGAACTGCAACGCTGCTGGGTTTTTCACGCTCAACAGTTTCCCGTGTGTATCAAGAATGGTCCACCACCCAAAACAAAGCCAGATAACTTGACACAACTGTGGGAGTCCACATGGGCCAGCATCCCTGTGGAACACTTTCGACACCTTGTAGAGTCTATGCCCCGACGTATTGAGGCTGTTCTGAGGGCAAAGGGGGGTGTTCCTAATGTTTTGTCCACTCAGTGTATATGCAATGCAAACTACATTTATGGTTATGCTGTGTATTGGCTTAATTTGTCATTGTGACTATTGAATACTCTCCTTAGCTACCTGAATAGCTCAAGTCATATATTTATATATGTATTTCCTCGTCTTTTTCCAGATAAGGAGTCTGAGCAGCAAGTGATAGCACTTCAGCCGTAGTGACAGACAGATAGCACAAAGAGTCCCTCAGGGGCCCCGCGGGGTCTCTCCACTCCAGTGCCTTGATCCAGTGTCCGCCTCGGGCTATGCAGGGGCCAACACCTGCCCTGTGCACCCCACCCAGCACTCTCCTCAGCCAGGCACGGCCCCATCCAGTCACCCCCTGAATACCTCCAGACCCCCTTCCCTGCCTCTCCCAGCCCAGGACTGACCCATTCAACCCCTGTCCCAACCTACTCCATCAGCCCCCTGGGCCTCATTCACTGTAACTTCCACACCACAACGCCCACAACAGGGTGGTTTGATAGACGGTGTGTCTCTGCCTTAAAATCAGCGAACAAACTCTCCTCGCCGAGACAACTCACTGTCCTACAGTCAAAAGAAGATGTAACTTCAAAGTCCTTGTACAGAAAATAAGAAAACCTCTGTCAGTCTTTTTTTCTAACTGTTTGCAAGAGTGTTGTAGGTGTTTGAAGATGTGAAAAACCATGTGAAAACTTCTGTGATGAATGTCCCAAAAGAGGCTGAACCATGTTTTATACTACTGTTCTGTTCTTGTTGTTTCTCTCACCGATGAAATGTCATGATGAATTGCAGAGCACCTACAGAACCTGTCCAATGTTGACGTTTTATTATTATCAAAAGGAATAATTTCCTTGAATTAGCGGATAACAATCCTCATTCACTAAGATCTGGTCTGATGTGTTTTAAATTTTTTTATTAGAGGTTTACTTTAAGAAACATCTGGTGTCCTCTCCTGTTCCTTAATTAAGAATTTACATTAAGGTAACAGGTGAACACATCTCAATCGTTTGAAGGAGGTGATTTTGAGATTTACCCAATTACTCTAGTGCTTAGTTATCATATTTGGAGAAAGATTCACTAAATTGCTAGGCCCGTTCAATGACAGTTGATGTAATATCTGTTTTGTAAGGCCAAAATAACTACAGGTTGTGAGAGTTTGGCATCTGGCTCCAGAGAGACCAAGGCCAAAATAATGCAATGCAAAAAAGACATTTAGTTGCATTAACAAATAATGAAACATTTATCACACAAATGGGCTACCTGTTAGTTAAAGTATATCTGTAAAGCATTTATGAACCCAAAGAAGCCACGAATTTAAGAAATTGGTAAGAAATTCTTACCAAACAAAAACATCTCTCTATGAAATTTTCACCTTTCTGACTTTTTTAAAAATATGCTTCAATCTATAGCTAGAGGACTCCTGATATCTCCAGGAGTGATAAGCATAATTTTTGTCTTAATTTGTTGTTGTCTAGTACTGTCTTTTGCTAGCTAGGGCCATCTAATTTAACTGATGTCTGTCTTCCCAGTAGCCTACTTGGTGTGTGAACTGCTGACTGATCATAACTTGCAGATTACGGTTGACACATTAACTAGGATTAAAGGACAGGGAAATTTGTGTGTAAACTAACACTCACACTTGCATTTATTTTCCTAATAGCACTGGCTTTGCTGATGGGGAAAAATATATTTACTATGACTGAGATATTTGGCTGTCCCACCTAGCTATCTTAAGATGAATGCACTAACTGTAAGTCACTCTGGATAAGAGCATCTGCTTAATGACAAAAATGTAAAATGTATTTTTTGGGGTTATTTTTATATTTCATTTGTTTCAGCTATGTGGCCTTTATTTGGCATACATTCTGATTTCTCTTCTGTGCTCTATGGCTCCAATAATTAATTGTATGTTGTGTTAAATATCTTGTAAAGATTTATACATAATGAAGTCTACTGGGCTTTATGACAAAATGCCATGAAAACCATGATTTTATTTTTGTACTTTTGAAGATTGTTATTATGCAGTTCTTTTCACTAAAATGAAGTGGGCGGAAATCAGTCTAGGTTTTATTCTCCCCCTCTGAAAGGTTTTCTCATCAGTTAAGTCTGAAAGCGTGTCATGTTTCCTTCTTCAAAGTGCTTTACATGTATGCCTGCATTAATTGTCTGAAAATGTGTGATGTTAATGGTGATGATGGTATTCATATTCCTGATAAAATGGGAGATGCGCTAAATAGAAGTTGATGCAGTGTGGTATTACTCCAAAGACCGGGGTGAGAGTCTTGAATGCCAGGCCTGTTGTTATCAGCATCTCAGAGTAGGAGTGCTGATCTAGAATCAGGTCTTCTCTGTCCATGTAACCATATTCATTGTGATCTACAACGAAAAGCTGATCCTAGATCAGCACTTCTACTCTGAGATACTCTGAGAGGCCCTGGTCTTTATATTGAGAAGATCAGATAAAATATTAATATAGAAGAGATGAAATACAGTGTTGAGAGATTCTGTTCCTATCTACTGCTCAGTAATTACAGTTAAAATGTTATGACGTTTACTCTGGTTCAGGGTGTTAAGTGCAGCTTGACCCTTCTTCAAGCCGCATGTATCGCACATGGGGTCATGCGTGGCTCAGTTGGTAGAGCATGGCGCTTTACAACGCTAGGGTTGTGGGTTTGATTCCCACGGTGGACCAGTATGAAAATGTATGCAGTCGCTCTGGATAAGAGCGTCTGATAAATGACAAAAAAATATATACAAAATAATATGTAACGCCCTGTACCAGAGCTAGTGACACGGGTTATTCCCATACCTATGGACTGCTGGGACTTCTGTTATATTTATATTATATTTGAACACTGTCCACTGGTGAGTACTTCCATCCATCCTATGATCCCATTTAGCAGGTTTTGCAGATGGTTCCTGTATGTTGTCGTTGTTCCTGGAGGTGTGTTGTGTATCAACGCATGTTTCTGGTTTTAATTAGATGTACAAAATTCGAGAAGCACAGCCAAGGGGTTCATTATTATCAATGTCCTGTATTTTTCTATTGGAAAGAAAATATTTTATCTCACCTCTCATATATATATATATATATATATATATATATATACAGTGGAGAAAAAAAGTATTTAGTCAGCCACCAATTGTGCAAGTTCTCCCACTTAAAAAGATGAGAGAGGCCTGTAATTTTCATCATAGGTACACGTCAACTATGACAGACAAAATGAGGAAAAAAAATCCAGAAAATCACATTGTAGGATTTTTAATGAATTTATTGGCATATGATGGTGGAAAATAAGTATTTGGTCAATAACAAAAGTTTCTCAATACTTTGTTATATACCCTTGGTTGGCAATGACACAGGTCAAACATTTTCTGTAAGTCTTCACAAGGTTTTCACACACTGTTGCTGGTATTTTGGCCCATTCCTCCATGCATATCTCCTCTAGAGCAGTGATGTTTTGGGGCTGTCGCTGGGCAACACAGACTTTCAACTCCCTCCAAAGATTTTCTATGGGGTTGAGATCTGGAGACTGGCTAGGCCACTCCAGGACCTTGAAATGCTTCTTACGAAGCCACTCCTTCGTTGCCCGGGCGGTGTGTTTGGGATCATTGTCATGCTGAAAGACCCAGCCACGTTTCATCTTCAATGCCCTTGCTGATGGAAGGAGGGTTTCACTCAAAATCTCACGATACATGGCCCCATTCATTCTTTCCTTTACACGGATCAGTCGTCCTGGTCCCTTTGCAGAAAAACAGCCCCAAAGCATGATGTTTCCAACCCCATGCTTCACAGTAGGTATGGTGTTCTTTGGATGCAACTCAGCATTCTTTGTCCTCCAAACATGACGAGTTGAGTTTTTACCAAAAAGTTATATTTTGGTTTCATCTGACCGTATGACATTCTCCCAATCCTCTTCTGGATCATTCAAATGCACTTCAGACGGGCCTGGACATGTACTGGCTTAAGCAGGGGGACACGTCTCGCACTGCAGGATTTGAGTCCCTGGCGGTGTAGTGTGTTACTGATGGTAGGCTTTGTTACTTTGGTCCCAGCTCTCTGCAGGTCATTCACTAGGTCCCCCCGTGTGGTTCTGGGATTTTTGCTCACCGTTCTTGTGATCATTTTGACCCCACGGGGTGAGATCTTGCGTGGAGCCCCAGATCGAGGGAGATTATCAGTGGTCTTGTATGTCTTCCATTTCCTAATAATTGCTCCCACAGTTGATTTCTTCAAACCAAGCTGCTTACCTATTGCAGATTCAGTCTTCCCAGCCTGGTGCAGGTCTACAATTTTGTTTTTGGTATCCTTTGACAGCTCTTTGGTCTTGGCCATTGTGGAGTTTGGAGTGTGACTGTTTGAGGTTGTGGACCGGTGTCTTTTATACTGATAACAAGTTCAAACAGGTGCCATTAATACAGGTAACGAGTGGAGGACAGAGGAGCCTCTTAAAGAAGAAGTTACAGGTCTGTGAGAGCCAGAAATCTTGCTTGTTTGTAGGTGACCAAATACTTATTTTCCACCATAATTTGCAAATAAATTAATAAAAAATCCTACAATGGGATTTTCTGGATTTTTTTTTCTCAATTTGTCTGTCATAGTTGACGTGTACCTATGATGAAAATTACAGGCCTCTCTCATCTTTTTAAGTGGGAGAACTTGCACAATTGGTGGCTGACTAAATACTTTTTTTCCCCACTGTGTATATATATATATATATATATATATATATATATATATATATATATATATATATATATATATATATATATATATATATATATACACACAGTACCAGTAAAAAGTTTGGACACCTACTCATTCAAGGGTTTTTTCTTTATTTGTACTATTTTCTACACTGTAGAATAATAGTGAAGACATCAAAACTATGAAATAGCACATATGGAATCATGTAGTAACCAAAAAAGTATTAAACAAATCAAAATATATTTGAGATTCTTCAAAATAGCCACCCTTTGCCTTGATGACAGCTTTGCACACTCTTGGCATTCTCTCAACCAGCTTCATGAGGTAGTCACCTGGAATGCATTTAAATTAGCAGGTGTGCCTTGTTAAAAGTTAATTTGAGGAATTTCTTTCCTTCTTGATGCGTTTGAGCCAATCAGTTGTGTTATGACAAGGTAGGGGTGGTATACAGAAGATAGCCCTATTTGGTAAAATACCAAGTCCATATTATGGCAATAACAGCTCAAATAAGCAAAGAGAAATGACAGTCCATCATTACTTTAAGACATGAAGGTCAGTCAATCCGGAAATTGCAGTTGCAAAAACCATCAAGCGCTATGATGAAACTGGCTCTCATGAGGACCGCCACAGGAATGGAAGACCCAGAGTTACCTCTGCTGCAGAGGATAAGTTCATTAGAGTTAACTGCACCTCAGATTGCAGCCCAAATAAATGCTTCACAGAGTTCAAGTAACAGACACATCTCAACATCAAATGTTTAGAGGAGACTGCGTGAATCAGGCCTTCATGGTCGAATTGCTGCAAAGAAACCACTACTAAAGGACACCAATAAGAAAAATAGACTTGTTTGGGCAAGAAACACGAGCAATGGACATTAGACCGGTGGAAATCTGTCCTTTGGTCTGATGTGTCCAAATTTGAGATTTTTGGTTCCAACCGCCGTGTCTTTGTGAGATGCAGAGTAGGTGAACGGATGATCTCTGCATGTGTGGTTCCCACCGTGAAGCATGGAGGAGGAGATGTGATGGTGTGGGGGTGCTTTGCTGGTGACACTGTCAGTGATTTATTTAGAATTCAAGGCACACTTAACCAGCATGGCTACCACAGAATTCTGCAGCAATACGCCATCCCATCTGGTTCGCGCTTAGTGGGACTATCATTTTTTTTCAACAGGACAATGACCCAAAACACACCAAATGACCCAAAACAGGTTGTGTAAGGGCTATTTGACCAAGAAGGAGAGTGATGGAGTGCTGCATCAGATGGCCTGGCCTCCACAATCACCCGACCTCAACCTAATTGAGATGGTTTTGGATGAGTTGGACTGCAGAGTGAAGGAAAAGCAGCCAACAAGTGCTCAGCATATGTGGGAACTCCTTCAAGACTGGAATAGCATTCCTCATGAAGCAGGTTGAGAGAATGCCGAGAGTGTGCAAAGCTGTCATCAAGGCAAAGGGTGGCTACTTTGAAGAATCTCAATTTGTTTAACACTTTTTTGGTTACTACATGATTCCATATGTGTTATTTCATAGTTTTGATGTCTTCACAACATTAACATGGTCTACACTGTATTTCTGATCAATTTGATGTTATTTTAATGGACAAAAAAATTGACATTTTAAGGTGACCACAAACTTTTGAATGGTAGTGTGTGTGTGTGTGTGTGTGTGTGTAAAAAATGGATATGACATATAAGATAATTGCCCAATCATAAACTTGATCCTTCTGTGTTGTCTGCGGGAGGCAACCAGCTGTCCCTATGTTCCTAGGCCGCAGTGAAGTTCACTTTGCACAGCTTTGATGGACTATTCACTCATATGTGCAATCGTTTGTTGCAATCCATATCATGCGTTGGGAAAAAAATATCAAGAAGCAAAAAATACAGATTCTCTATGTGCCAAATTGCTCTGATTGAGAAAAAGTGTAATACTAATTGAATAAAGTTTGCACCTGAATGACCTCTGGAGTTTACTATCATTCCTAACATTTGGGGATTAATAAAGTATGGTCTTATTTTATGTTACAAAGAATTTCCCTCACCAATGATAAAAAAAAAAACTGACCTGCTTATTCACAGAAAGATTAGGATTTTGAGCATCTTTATATTTCTCTTGATATACCTCCTGCTTTTTATTCAACAATAATCGGTCACAGCACCAATGTACCAAAAACATAGTTACAGACTATCTTCATTTATTAATCAATATAGATTGCATTTCTCAGTATCTACCATACAGACTACAACTGGTCAGCCAGTTTAGAGGTCCCTAGACTAAGACACACTGTAGGCTTGAGAGCAAACCTTGAAAATAAAGAAAGAAAGAAAGAAAGAAAAAGGAGATAGAGACAGAGAAAGGGGGACAATCCTTGATTAAATAAAAAAGAATGTTCACAGACACATATGGTGGGTGGCGAGCGGCCGGGCATGTTGTCATGGTAACCAGTCGGCGTCCTCTCCGCTAAGTGTCTTCCCGATGTTCTCCTGGTTCCTGATGATGTTGAGGAGAATCTCCAGTGTGCTGACCACGGGCCCAGGGTGTCTGAGCCCTCCGTTGCCCCCTCCTCCGCTCTGCCTCTTCCCAAAGCGCCCGATGGGCCTCACCCCACGCCCCACGTACCAGAATGGATCTATCTCTGGACCTGACAAAGACAAGACACACAGGATAAGTGGAAGCATCAAGCTAAGGTTTGAATATACACTGAACAAAAATGCAAATGCAAAATGTAAAGTGTTGGTCCCATGTTTCATGAGCTGAAATAAAATATCCCAGATATTTTCCATATGCACAAAAAAGCTTATTTCTCTCAAATGTTTTTCACAAAGTTTTTTTGTTTACATCCCTGTTAGTGAGCATTTCTCCTTTTCCAAGATAATCCATCCACCTGACAGGTGTAGCATATCAAGAAGCTGATTAAACAGCATGGTCATTACACAGGTGCATCTTGTGCTGGGGACAATGAAAGGCCACTCTAAAATGTGGTCCTCTGTAGCTCAGCTGGTAGAGCACGGCGCTTGTAACGCTAAGGTAGTGGGTTCGATCCCCGGGACCACCCATACACAAAAAAAAATGTATGCACACATGACTGTAAGTCGCTTTGGATAAAAGCGTCTGCTAAATGGCATATTATTATTATTATTATGTGCAGTTTTGTCACACAACACAATGCCACAGATGTCTCAAGTTTTGAGGGAGCGTGCAATTAGCATGCTGACTGCAGGAATGTCCACCAGAGCTGTTGCCAGAGAATTGAATGTTAATTTCTCTATCATAAGCCGCCTCCAACGTCGCTCTAGAGAATTTGGCTGTACATCCAACTGGCCTCACAACCGCAGAACAAATTTAACCATGCCAGCCCAGAACATCCACATCCGTCTTCTTCACCTGCGGGATCGTCTGAGGAGGGGGAGGGGCATTGCTGAGGAGTATTTCTGTCTGTAATAAAGCCCTTTTGTGAGGGAAAACTCATTCTGATTGGCTGGGCCTGGCTCCCCAGTGGGTGGACCTGGCTCCCAAGTGCTATGCCCTCCCAGGCCCACCATTGGCTGCGCCCCTGCCCAGTCATGTGGAAATCATAGATTAGGGCCTAATGAATTTATTTCAATTGACTGATTTCCTTCTATGAACTGTAACTCCTTCTATGAACTGTAACCCCCCCCCCCCCACACACACACACACACACACACTCTCTCTCTCTCTTTCTTAAAAGCACACACAAATGCCTGTCCACAAAGTACACAGTTGTACCTTAATGCGTAAACAGTAGTAATACCCCTCATATTGCTGTTCCATAACTAGTGATAATGCACTAAAGGACCAGGTTATTGTTCATATCACGGTATTGTTCATACCAATACCAAGAAATGTGGGATGAACATTGTGTATGAACAATACCATTTATTGTTAGGCTATTGGTATGAGCAATAACCTGGTAAGAACAACAATACCATTTCTTGTTAGGTTATTGAATAACCTGGTACGAACAATATCATTACTTGGTATAAGGCTATTGGTATGAACAATAACCTGATATGAACAATACCATTTTAGGCTATTGGTATGAACAATAACCTAAAAGTGGATGTCACCTTTTCATCAGGCAGTGGATACTGTTGATAGTTTTTAGGCAACACTTTACATTAAAGTCTTCTATGAAAGTTTTAGAATGTATAAGTCAGGTAAACTGTGAATGTTTAATTTATAAATACCATATCAATCATTAAAAAACATTTTCAAATCCAAAACTAAGATGTTGAAAATCTAGATAATATTACAAATTAACCTAATTTATTTTTGAAACAATTATAAATCATATCACATTATCAGTGGTGTGTTACATTCAAAATTCTTACATTTGTTTATTATGATTGAATTAGTTTATGAACAAATTTTACAAACCTTTTATAAGCCATCTGTAATAGGTTTGAAATCTGACATTTTATTTCTATTAATTATAACATAAAAAATATATAATTTTATAAAAAACAATGTGTGAAATCCTTTGTGTAATATCCAATGTGTCATCAATGTCACCTTTCAAGATAAAATCCAATGCTTATGAAGACAAATCATTCACTTATTCGATAATAAAATGTGTGTCAACTTACTTCTGTTGTCGACATTGTGGACGATGTGAAAGTCGTGCTCCACTGTGGTACTGTGAACGCAGGTGACCGTCGTGGAGAGCAACAGCAGCATCGTGAGCGCAGCCGTCAGCCAGCGGGACCCCAGAACACACTCTCTCGCCATCACTGGGCATGCGGCTGTAGTCTCAGGTATCATTGTGGATGGCAAGGCACTGCACATGGTCCGTTGTGTTTTCTAAATGACATAAAGGTAAAGATAAGTAGTTAAACCCGACTTTAGGCTTGTGTCAATGTAATCTTGTCCTATACTTTGAATTAGCCTAATTCGTGCGTAATTGCGCACCGATGTGTAATCTTAGAACAGACATATACCAATGAATTATCTACTCTGACACAAGGCTAACTAATAACTGAATAAATACGTTATAATCCTAAATATATGTTCACCTTTTATACATAAAAGTGGAGAGCATACAACCAGTTTCAACTTAACGTAAACTTTGGTAGCTTGTTGAGGTGGGTCGGTGGAGAGTTTTCCTCATGCCAGGTTCTTCATTAGCTGGAAGGGTGTGAGCGCGAATTTATATATTCCGGACTGCCCATGTTAAATGATGACTCAAGAACGTCAGTCACATAGGATACTCCGGTGGATATCGTCACCACCACTTCCTCCCCGTCCCCTCCTTCTTACAAATCTCCTTATCCCTTAAGAATGAAAAAGTAAGGTAATGGGGCTTTTGGGTTGCAGTTTTCCTGGTCCATGGCACGCCGCTGTGCACTCCATCAAGGAGTCAATGACATGTGGACAACATTAACTTAGTTAGTAGACCCGCTTTGGTGACCTTTACTTCGAGTACAAGACAGTGAACCAGAGCTGTGGAGGCGGGTATGCATCAATCATCTTGATAAGTATCGACAAGTCCTACTGTTGTCATAGCACCAACCAGATAGTGTAAAACAGATCACTGAGTATCATTTTCAATGAATGAACTTGTGTATGTCTAATAAAATTCACTCATATTGTAATTAATTATAGGTCATTGAAATCTGAAACACTGGACCATTATTTCAATGCAACATAGTAAATGTTTATGTCATAGGCCTACATTCTTTGGTGATGTGAATATTCACATACATTAACAAATTGATGAATGCTCAAGTACAAAACTTCAATAGAGTGATATTCTCTTGAGTGTGGTGTCAATGAGTTTGCACAGTTCATGTCCAAACATCCAAAATGTGATGACAAAAGCACAGCTAGGTCAGAGAGATGAGTCACAGGTGACAGTCCGGTTGCAGAGGAGGAGGAGAAGTTCAGAGTAAAACTGAAATGTCAAAAAAGACGATGGCAGCTTTGGCCTCAGGCCCATGACTACACTCTTTAAAAAAAAGTGCTATCTAGAACCTTAAACTGTTCTTTGGCTGTCCCCATAGGAAAACCCTTTGAAGAACCATTTTTGGTTGCAGGTAGAACCCTTTTGGCTTCCATGTAGAACCCTTTCTACAGACGGTTCAACATGGAACCCAAAAGGGTTCTACCTGGAACAAAAAAGGGTTCTCCTATGGGGACAGCCGAAGAACCCTTTTGGAACCCTTTTTTCTAAGAGTTTAGGTCCAGTGAGAGTATATCTAAATAAAGATGATATACACTACCAGTCAAAAGTTTGGACACACCTCATTCAAGGGTTTTTTCTTTATTTTTACATTTTTTAATAGTGAAGACATCAAAACTATGAAATAACACATATGGAATCATGTAGTAACCAAAAAAGTGTTAAACAAATGAAAACATATTCTATATTTTGGATTCTTCAAATAGCCACCCTTTGCCTTGATGACAGCTTTGCACACTCTTGGCCTTTTTTTTAAAGGTATTTGTGACCAACAGATGCATATCTGTATTCCCAGTCATGTAAAATCCATAGATTAGGGCCTAATGAATTTTTTCAATTGACTGATTTTCCTTATATGAACTGTAACTCAGTAAAATCTTAGAAATTGTTGCATGTTGCGTTTATGTTGCTCCTGGTCACCCCTAATAAAATATTATTGGTGCAGTTTGTAAGAAAAAAATCTGTAAACAAAATGTTTTCTAAAAATCAGTCACTATTCATAAGCACACAATTGAGACAGTGGCATTATTCATAATTCCAAGCTCTTAATTCAAAACTCTTGGTGGATATTGTAGTACGTCATTGGCCTGTTTAGTATGGGTGAGGCACGGTTCACTTGGGGGAAGCAGTTTGGTTCTCCTCCATATATTAGGACAGCCATTATTGCCCTGTTGAAGAGGATCAGATGCCATGATGTAAGTAACAGTTCACCCAACAAGAGAGGATGGCTGTGCTAATAACTAAATTACTGCCAGAGGATGTATAATCATGGCTCGGATTTGCAGCCGGAGACCAAATTGAGGCTTAATGCTTGAAGATGCATATTGCATATTATTGATTTATGACGAGGAGCTCTCATTTTCAACAAAACAAATATGAGACACTTCCACCAGATACACAACCACTATCTGATTTTGCCCAAGATTCAAGCTACTGGGCAGTCATGGCCAAAATGTATTTGAGGTGTGTCCAATACATTCTCACCACACCATTTTAAACTGTATTGAACTGCTGTTAATTATTCATATTTCTTTGCTCCCAAAATATGAGGCCATCATTTTACTAATAAAATAGGACTTATCTATTATGTCAGATGCAAAGAGCAGCAGAATACCCCTTTATATCCACAAATATCAAGCACACAAATAGCTCAAAATAACATATGCACATACTATGACAGGCTCCCAAGTGGCGCAGCGGTATAAGGCACTGCATCTCAGTGCTTGAGGTGTCACTACAGACCCCCTGGTTCGATTCCAGGCTGTATCACAACCGGCCGTGATTGGGAGTCCCATAGGGCGTCCTCCGGGTTTGGCTGGTGTAGGCCGTCATTGTAAATAAGAATTTGTTCTTAACTGACTTGCCAAGTTAAATAAAGGTTAAATAAAAAATTATAACACATGTTGTGCCCCATAGATATACAGCAGGGGTACTCAATCACTATTTGAGAGATGTCAGGTCACACACATTTCCTAGGTGGCAAAGGATAATGTAATTTATCGGCGTAGTAACACACCCCCACCTCGCAACCCATGCGGCTGTTCACACCCCACTTGTTGGCAGAGAAAATGTTGCAGTTTTAAAGCTATTTTCCCACAAATCTACACATTTTGCATCAGACAGAGATTTGTTTTTGATTTTTTTCACAGCTAATTTCCTTCAATTCTATGCATTCTTCCATGTCTTGTGTGTTTATATGATACCTGCGGTCCGTATAGACCCCGTTCTGGGTCCGGATCCGGTCAGCAGTCCTCCAGTTGAGTATGAAGGATATAGTGGCGCAGTGGTCTAAGGCACTGCATCACAGTGCTAGCTGTGCCACTAGAGATCCTGGTTCGAATCCAGGCTCTGTTGTAGCCGGCCGCGACCAGGAGACCCATGGGGCGGCGCACAATTGGCCTAGGGTAGGGGAGGGAATGGCCGGCAGGGATGTAGCTCAGTTGGTACAGCATGCCAGGGTTGTGGGTACGATTCCCACGGGGGGCCAGTATGAAAAATGTACTCACTAACTGTAAGTCGCTCTGGATAAGAGCGTCTGCTAAATGACTAAAATGTAAATATACAGTATGTTGTGCCCCTTAAAATGTGTGTGCTTAGCATGAGCTCAGATAGATTGTCAGGTTGATCCCTGATAATCCAACACTACTGCCCTTCTCTCCCACTCTAGGCTAAAGACGTCATAGGCCTCTCTCAATGTTTGGTCAAATCCTGCCTCAATGAGTTTTACCACACACTCATTGCACATTAGTTTTTTTCAATTGTTTAAGCACAATTTTGAAAACAGGGCCCGCTTCGTCAAAACACTACACACAATTAGCACAACCCTACACCAAAGTAGCACAACACTTCAGATCATTTGCAAAACTATACACGACTTCATAAAAACAATATTTTGTTACCATACGAAACACACACATTTCATATGACTTCAATCTTTTTGAACCAGTTACACACTGCTGTTGCTAACCTAAAACACTTTTAGCAAGTCTAATTCTCAGTGATTAGAGTACTGTAAATGAAGTACACAGAGAAAGTGCAACTATACAAACACTACACAAGACCAATGCTGCAGACTGAGGAAAATATCATTTATTTCTCTCCATATACCCAAATCAGTCAACATGTCAACATGGAGAATCACAACAAAATGTCCCAGTTTTCATGCTACTACAGTAGTGTGCATAACACTGTTAGCTCAGCAAACAACAGACAAACGTTAAATACTGTATCCAGTACAGGTTACAATTACAGTAAATAACAACAACAAACATAAAGAATAATCTGAAGAAGAAAAACGGACAATATTGTACAGAAAATACTACAGTAAACATACTGTAATGACCCAGCTGGGTCATAAAGTAAAAGAGAGACGGGCACCAGGTGTACAGGCAGAACACAGGTTTATTCCTGAATGGGCTATTGTTCAGGCCACAGCCCACGCCGCTAAACCTCGAACATACACAAATATAACATGTCAAATCAAGGGTCCCGAACAGAAGAGAGAGAGATGAGACCGTAACCCCTATTTAAGCATTCCAAAACCCCGCGGGATTACCCATCATACCCCCCCAACCTTTCCATCTGTCCTGGCGTATTTAACCCCTGCTAGCACCCATGAGAACGATAACACACCCATGAACACAGAACACAATACAGGGTCGTTACATAGCCCCCCCCCCTTTCTAAACCCTAGCCCCTAGGGTTACAAAACAAAATCCTTAAAACGACCCGGAGGTCGCATCAGTCTCTTGTGCCTCCCCTTGACTCTCACTGGTGGACCCCCAGAACACTCATCTGCCCCAATGTCATTTCCAGCGCCCTCCGAAGAGGCAGCCCCCGTCCCAGGCTCAGCTTGCACTAGAGTCTCCTCGCTAGACTGTCCCCGTGTGCTCACATCAGAGTCCTCACTTCCATTCCCTACCGTTTTCCTCCCTCTGTAGGGCGCCAATCGGTCCCGGTGGACCACCACCTTCCTGCTCCGTGGGGGAACCTCCACCCGGTACGTCACCTCCCCCACTCTCTCTATCACCAGGCACGGCCCCACCCAGGCACTGTCCAGCTTTGGGCACCGCCCCTTCTTGCGCGTGGGGTTGTGAAGCCACACGCG